CACTGTGCATCGCCACTCGCTGAGCCGTGCCTACCTGTCACTTTCTTGACTTCTGTGTGCCAAGTGCTGAGGCTGCACTAAAATATCCAACAGCTGGCTCGAGAGCTGTCAGACAAGCAGAGCCTGCTGGTGTTTGGCCGCGGTTACAACTACACAACATCTTTACAAGTTTTCGTTTCTCCCAACCCCTTCTCCCCGCCATCAGGGAAGGTGCGTCAGGTGCTGAGGCTCGACTCTGAGATTCAGCAACTGGCTCGAGAGCTTTCAGAGGAGCAGAGCCTGCTGGTGTTTGGCCGTGGGTACAACTACGCAATTACACCACCCCACACCCCTCTCCCCCACCCCTTCTCTCCCATCTCGTGTTTTCTTCAGGGAAAGTGCGGCAGGTGCTGAGGCTCGACTCTGAGATACAACAACTGGCCCGCGAGCTGTCAGGCGAGCAGAGCCTGCTGGTGTTTGGGCGCGGGTACAACTACGCGACGGCGGTGGAGGGGGCGTTGAAGGTGAAGGAGGTGGCGCTGATGCACAGCGAGGGCATTCTGGCGGGCGAGATGAAGCACGGCCCGCTCGCCCTCGTTGATGCCACTCTGCCTATCATCGTTGTTGCCACCCGCGACAGCACCTGCAGGTGGGTTGAGGGGTGATGGTGGGTTGGGGGAGGTAATGCGTGGGATGCGATGCACAGCGAGGGCATTCTGGCCGGCGAGATGAAGCACGGCCCCCTCGCCCTCGTCGATGCCACTCTGCCTATCATCGTTGTTGCTACTCGGGACAGCATGTGCAGGTGAGCAGAGGGGTGGTGATGGGTGTGGAAGGGTAAGGAGGTGGTGGTTGAGGAGATGAAGCACGGCCCCCTCGCCCTCGTTAACGCCACTCTGCCCATCATTGTTGTTGCCACTAGGGACAGCACGTGCAGGTGAGGAGGGGAGAGAGGAGGGATTGTGGGCTGAGGGCTGCTGGGAGTGTCGAGGTGGGCTGACGGGTGGTGATGGGTCCAGTGAGGTACGGGTATCTGACTATGGGTTGACAATGCATTCAAAAAGAACCAGCAGCAAGCTTATGTTCATGTATCTAATGTTGCACCTCTTTTGTTCCATTACTCCCCTTTCCGTGGCCCTTACGCACCAATGCAGCAAGCAGCAGTCAGTTATTCAACAACTGCAGGCGCGCAGCGGCCGACTAATGGTGATCTGCTCTGAGGGGGATGCGGATCTCATGTGTCCGAATGGCGCGGCTAAGATAATCGAAGTGCCCCATGTGGAGGACTGCCTACAGCCTATCATTAACATAATTCCATTACAGCTCCTCGCATACCATTTGACTGTTATTCGGGGTTTTAACGTCGATCAACCTCGAAACCTCGCCAAGAGTGTCACGGTGGAGTAAGTCTGACTTCTGGGTGGTTGGGGGGGCGAGGGGCTATGGGGTTGTGTAATGTTATGGTGATTTTTGGTTTGGTTAGTACATACCTCATGTATCTTTTTTATTCGGGTGGGTCATTCTAGCTTTGCAAATACGGGCTTTCAAGGTGTTGGTCAATCATGTGCTCTGACCTGATCGGTCACCAGATGAGGAGTTTGTTGTGCATGTACCAATGCGTTTAGAATGAATGCCTGAATGTTTTTTTTACTGAACATAGAAAAGCCCACTTAGAATCCTAGACTGGCATTTGTTTCCTTGAGAATCTAAAATTCGCTCCTTCACATTTGTGCACGATCTTTTTGCGAGGATGTGCAGACATTGTCCTAGTAGTTCAAGCTGACGTAATCGAATTGTATTGCCACCAAGCTTCCGCTGCTGGTTTGTAAATATCGCGTCACCAAGTCCACATGGCTACACGGGAAAGAACTCGTGTGGCGAAGCAGGAACAGCTGGCATCAAAAGTGACACCGCCAACTGTGCATGGTAGTTTGATGCAGAATTTCAAGCACCGCGGAGCACCGTATTCTAAAAACGTCAAAACGTACTGAACCCGACATCATTTAGTTCCGATCTTGCCCTCAGCGTCACACAGCGCCCAACACCAGATGCGATTGTTCTTGGCTGATTGCTTGTTTTCCTCGAGAGATTTCTTGATTTCTTGAATTCTGTTGCTGCTGTTCACTGATTACGGTATGACATCCTCCAGGCAAATATTAGTTTTCTTTGGCTCGCGTGTTACTAACTAGAAGTGAGGGCCGTTGAGTTAAATATTATCGTCGTCGCGTCACTGTCTTTATTGACTAGGCGTAGTCTTGTTTGGCAAGTCAAAATTAGCAATCTCGAGACTTCACGTCTTTCTCGGTTTTTTCTAATCGTTTTGCCGTACCATCCTTCCCCGCTCCTGTACGTCGACTGGTCGTGTCGTTCTTACCGAACTGACTATGGCGGCGGGCGAAGCGGGGCGAAATTTCTTAATCGCGGTGGACGATTCGGAGGGCAGTCGCCACGCGTTACAATTCGCGTGCGAAAAGGTTGTCGAGGACAACGATAGGGTTACTATCGTTCACGTCCGACCGCAGATTGAAGGTACTACGCGAGGGGGCCGGCGATTGCAGCTGCATCCGGAACCCTCGCGCCTTTGTTTCTTGAATTACTCCTTCGCCAGTCGTGTTTTTTTAACAATTTTTCCCGATGCCTGAGAAATCTGAACGCCTTTTTGTTCTTGTAACCGGATGGATGACGTGGCACGATTCCCGAAGAGGTGGACTTCTATGCCGCTCAGACCTACAAACAGGAGTTCGAGGAACAGTACCTTCGAGATAGTCACAAGCTGCTAGACAAGTACCGGAAACTTGCCAGCACCTACAAAGTGAGCTTATAACAAAGAAATGTATCCTCGTTTTTATAGCTTAGATGTATCCGGCTTTTCTGCGTCCCTTCTCCGCTTCGCCTGTCCCCCTCGCCCTCCCCCTTCTCCCTGCATTCCGTGTGCTTTATCTCACATCCGCCTCTCTCGCTTTGTTCTTAATCGGTGATTCTTTGAAATATTATGCTTCCACTGTTCTGTGCGTTTCCTTTCAATCGCAGCCGTCGTTTAAGAACGAGTGGGTGACGAAGAGCGCGTGTGGCGACGCGAGGGAGAGGATCCTCGAGGCAGCGAACGAGGTCGACCCGGATGTGATTGTACTGGGAAGCCACGGGCATGGCGCTATAACGAGGTGGGTACAAGAGATGGGCACAGTCCTACCCGCACCTGCCCATTGTCGTGTGCCCGGTTATAACATAGGTCGTGTGCTTCAAGGCGAATCAAAGCACCAACAGTCCTACCCGCACACCGTAGAATTTTCTCGGGGGAGCAAAATTTTCAACACGTTTTTAGGTTCAATGTATTAAGTAAAGGTACGCGTCTAGACATGTCTGGATGGTGTAGTCGGTTATCACGCCAGTCTCACACACTGGAGGTCTCCGGTTCGATTCCGGGTTCAGACACTTGTTTTTATCTCATCTAGGGATTGTACTTTTCATTGCAACGAAATTGCGCACGCACGTTGCCCAATCTATTCCTCCCCCTGCCCACTGCTCCTACCTGCCTCCATAGTCAATCCGGGGATGTCATCAAAGGTGCGAACAACCACAAAGCACACACTGCCAATTGTGCTGTAATGGTTGCCCTTTACACGCCTCTCCCTTCGCCCTTATCCCCTACTCCCCCTCCCCCTCTCCCTCTCCCTCCTGACCTTGTTCCCCACTCCCCTTTCAGGGTTCTATTGGGGAGCGTCAGCGACCACGTGGCACATGCTGCCAGCTGTGCGGTCATGATCGTCCCAACCCCACACCAATCAATTCCATCCACTGTTGCCTCTGCCATCCCTGGGATGGATGCACTTTCCAAAGTTGTCAACTCGGCTCACTAGCACTAGCTGCTCCACCCCATCCCACCCTGTTCCACCCCACGATGCCCCATCCCACCAATCTCACCCTTCACTGCCAAATCAGCACGTGCCAACTCAGTAGAGTAGTGGCCCCAGCCCATGATCAACAGGCTCACCTATTAGAATGTCCAGTTAAGTAAACCTGTCTCTTAGGCACATTCACGATAACTTCTTCCAAGCTCGGGAGGCCTCACATCAGCTACCGCTAGCTTTGGGAGACCCATGCCATGTCGCGTCACCTCGTGCACTGATACCATCTCGCTGTTGCTGTGTCTGACACGAAAGATGGCAGTCACGATTGCCAGGATGGTTGATTTGTTCCCTGGCAGCTAGAGGAGTGAGACATGGGTTCGAGCTTAGTTTGGCTTTAGAAACTGCTGATAGGCTTGCAGACTGCATTTTGTGTTGCACATTGATGAGAAAGCCATTTCCAGCTGTTGCCATTCCCTTTAAAATGTTTTGTGGGAGAACTTTGCCATGCACCTGGAAAGGTAGTGGCTCATTGGCACCGCATCTTCCCAGAGACACTAACTTGGTAAAGAAACAATCCCAGAAGCACAATAATGAGCATCACTTGTGCTCCTGCATGTCAATCACCTAGAACCGAGGAAGTGAGGCTGCTCCAGCTAGCCCCGTCAGCCTCCATCCCAGCACCATCAGTACCGAAACATTTCCTGTTTGGGGCATGCTATCACTGGTCTGGTCCTTGTGCAAGTGAATCACGGCAGACATGCACCGCGAGGGCAGAAGAGGATGCTCTAGTAGCACCTTCACCCTCACTCCCAACACCACCAGGATTCGGTACTCACAGACCACTGTGACCCGGCACACTATCACACAATCACTGCTCCTCCTGCATGTGGATCACAGCATGCAAGCACTTGCCCCCATGCAGCAAGTCAAATGCCTCATTGATCTTCGAGGAAAAAAACGCGCCAAATACCCTCAACCCCCTCCCATCCCATCCCCGCAACCCCTTTCACTCAGCACCCTATCACTGCTCCTCCTACATGTGAATCACGGCACGCAGGCACTTGCCCCCGTGAAGCAGGTCAAATGCCTCGTTGATACTGGAAGGGGGAAGAATGCGTGTACCACCTGCTACCTCCCCCAACCTATCTCCCCAATTCCTCTCCCAGCACAAAATCACTGCTCCTCCTGCATGTGGATCACGGCGCGCAAGCACTTGCCCCCATGCAGCAAGTCAAAGGCCTCGCTGATCTTCGAAAGGGGCAGGTTGTGTGTGATGTATTCGTCTACCTTAATTTCCTGTTGATGTGTACAAACGTGGGGAGGGGGAAATTTGTAGAGAGATGTAGAGAGTTAGCGTGCAAGAGAGAGGGGATTGTGTGTAATGTACTCGTCCACCTTGATCTCCTGTGTAACATGAGGTGGAAAAGAAAGGAGAGAGAGGAACAGCGTGGGATAGCGAGGGAGAGTAGAAAGGGTGTGTGAAGTACTCATCTATCTTTACCTCCTGTTGATCGGGTGCCACAAAAGGGGAATAAACGGGAAGAGCGAGAGTCCAGAAACTGAGTGTGTGCCTGCCTGTGCCTCTTGGCTCTTCTCACACCACACGCCCTCACCTTGTTCAAATAAGTACTACTATAACGACTGACTGGTTGCTACCCACATGCACAGATAACACATACCTTGTTCATATACTTGTCCACAAGCTGAGGCACATCCGTGCGGCTCTTGAACCCGCCAAACGCAGTGCCGCGCCACACACGCCCCGTGACCATCTTGTTCCTACACCTCTCCCATCAACACACACAAACCACACTCACCTTGTTCAAGTACTTGTCCACCAGCTGGGGCACATCCGTGCGGCTCTTAAACCCCCCGAACGCCGTGCCGCGCCACACACGCCCCGTGACCAGCTGGAAGGGCTGCGTGGTGATCTCCTGCCCTGCCGCTGCCACTACTACAATGACTGACTGGTTGCTACCCACATGCACAGATAACAAAAACCTTATTCTTGAACCCCCAGAACACATACCACATCAGATGATACTCTGCCTCCTTCAATGGTCCTCACACATCACACTCCCTCACCTTGTTCAAGTACTTATCGACCAGCTGGGGCACGTCCGTGCGGCTCTTAAACCCGCCAAACGCCGTGCCGCGCCACACACGCCCCGTGACCAGCTGGAAGGGCCGCGTCGCGATCTCCTGCCCTGCCGCTGCCACCCCGATGATGACCGACTCGCCCCACCCCTTGTGGCAGCACTCGAGGGCTGCTCGCATGACTGCCACATTGCCGATGCACTCAAAGCTGTAGTCCACTCCCCCGTCTGTGAGCTCGACAATAACTTCCTGAATGGGCCGGCTGTGGTCCTTGGGATTCACAAACTCGGTCACTCCGAAGGCCTTGGCTGGCGAAGAGGCAGTGGATGGAATGGGGAGGGCAGGCAAGGGAAGGGAAAGAGGGTCTGAAACTGGAATACGGGATCTTGATGGCAGCAGCACTCCAGCGCTGCCCGCATGACTGCCACGATACCGATGCACTCAACGCTGTAGTCCACTCCCCCGTCCGTCATCTCGACCAGCACCTTTTGAATGGGGCGGCTGTGGTCCTTGGGATTCACGAACTCTCTCATTCCAAATGCCTTAGCTGCAAAGAGAAAAGAAACGGATGGGACGTGAAGGGAAAGATGGACGCACTGGAATCTTTAGTCCATCCTTTCGCCTCTGAGGCTCGCTGTGGTGCTCTAGTCCTTGGTTGCTGTTACTTGGTCAAGTTTTTACTTGGCGTGTGCTGCTTCATGTCGCTCCATGCTTGCATGAAAGTGCACAGCAACAGCACCCCACCTGTTTCAAACTTGGAAGGGTGGAGGTCCACGCCTAAGATGCGCGATCTGATACGCACACATGGTTTGTCACACACCATGCATGCATGAATGCATGCACGAAGGCACACATGGATGCATTTGCATGCGTGCAAGCATGCATGTGCACATCACCCCACCTTGTTAAAACTTTTCAAGGTGGTGGTCAACGCCTATAATGCGCGAGTTGGTAGGCATCATAGGCGTTGACCACACAAACATGCGTGAGTGCATGCTTTGTCACACCAAGCATGCGTGAGTGCATGCTTTGTCACACCAAGCATGCGTGAGTGCATGCTTTGTCACACCAAGCATGCATGTGCACATCACCCCACCTCTTTCAAACTTTTCAAGTTGGTGGTCAACGCCTATGATGCGCGATGCCCCGGCTGCCACTACTTGGTTGGTTCGCCACACTTGGGGTGTCACTTCGTTACGTTGTGAAATGTGTACCAACCTACACACAACCCTCCCCACCTCTTTCAAACTTTTCAAGGTGGTGGTCCACGCCTATGATGCGCGATGCTTTGGCTGCCTTGGCCCCATCTGCCACCTGCCACGCATTAGCAAGTATGCACACAAACCACACCTGTGTCGAACTTTGCAGGGTCGATATCAACGCCTATGATGCGCGATGCCCCGGCTGCCTTTGCCCCCTCCGCCACCTGCCACACATGAACACTCCAGCACAGGAGAGTCTAAGTCAGACGCATAGCCTATCATCAGCTAGACACGCATTGGGCAGCGAGGCAACAAAGACGCGAACACAAGTTAAGGCATGAGGCACGCCAGCAGCACCACCACTCCAGACTGAGTCAGCGAGTCCAGACCCTGTGAGTCACCGCGAACCCACAAGTGCCCAGGCCTTTGAGGCGCCTCAGAAGTTACCGCGAACACAAGTTAAGGCACGAGGCACGCCAGCAGCACCACCACTCCAGACTGAGTCAGCGAGTCCAGACCCTGTGAGTCACCGCGAACCCACAAGTGCCCAGGCCTTTGAGGCGCCTCAGAAGTTACCGCGAACACAAGTTAAGGCACGAGGCACGCCAGCAGCACCACCGCTCCAGACTCTAACTCACGAGAACCGGGTGTTTTTGAGAATTCTCAAAGACACACTGTGGAACTGGGATCCGCCTTGGCTGCACCCGCCACGTGAAATGAGGTTGCTTTTGAGACGTCTCAAAAACAACCTCATTTAACTGTGGATCCAGGTCGAATCTGTCTTTCTATACCTCATTTCACTGTGGATCCAGGTCGAATCTGTCTTTCTATACCTCATTTAACTGTGGAACGGGGATCCACCTTGGCTGCACCCGCCATTCATTAAGTAGCACTTCCCATGACATGCAAGCCTTACCAGTGAGTCAGTCACTCCCCTGCACCCACAACCACCACTCCCAACTGGGTACTCACCGCGAGCCCAGACAGTGCCCAGGCCAAAGGCAACAGCGGATCCAGGCTCAACCTTAACTGCACCGCATGTGCAAGTCCACCCAGACAACCCACATCATGCAATGCAAGAACCTCCTCCCAACTCCCCCCCACCCCACCACTGGCAACGGTGGATCCGGGTTCAACCTTGGCTGCAGTAGCTACTCACCACGCACCTGCAGCACCTGCAGACACTCCACCCCCCACCTCCTCCACCCCCCCTTACACTCCCAACTAAGACTCACCGCGAGCCCAACAGTGCCCAGGCCAAAGATGGCAACGGTGGACCCGGGTTCAACCTTGGCTGCATTCCACACCGCTCCCAGCCCTGCCGGTTGGAGGGATGGAAGAATGCCAATCCGGATCAGAGTGGCTCAATCAAGGAGGTTCAGGGCGGTCAATGTTTGACACGTCTCCACCTTGGCTAGATTCCACACAGCTCCCAGCCCTGCCGGGAGATAGGGGCAAAGGGGGTTGATCTTGGCGAAACAAGAGGATGCCGGGATATACAAACAAGGAGGAGGGCACACCACAGGCCAGTAGGCTGGTTCCTTACCTGTGGGGATGCCACAGCCCAGCAGGCACACTTTGTCAAGGGGCGCCTCTGGGTTGATCTTGGCAACAGACACATCGTGAACCACCGTGTACTCGCTGAACGTGCTGGTGCCCATGAAGTGGTAGATTGGCTCCCCTCGCACGGTGAAGCGCGGCTTTCCGTCTGACAGCATCACACCACGGCCTGAAGGAAAGAGGGGCGATGTATGGAAAACAGGAGGGGCGAGGAGAATGAATGTACTTGCTGAACGTGCTCGTGCCAATGAAGTGGTAGATTGGCTCTCTGCGGATGGAGAAGCGCGGCTTGCCATCCAACAGCATCACCCCACGACCTGCGTGTGTGGGAAGAGGGAGGGGGGAGAGAGAGGAAGGCGCGCTGAGACGTGCTCGTGCCCATGGAAAAAAGGAAATGACGCAAAGAGAAAAGACGAAAAAAAAAAGACGCAAAGAGAAAAGACGAAAAAAAAAGACGCAACGGGAAAAGACGAAATAAAAAGAAAAGACAAAAAAGGAGAGGAAAAAAAAAAGAGCAAAATGTCACTTGTGCTTCTGACTCACTTGTGGCAGGGCGGACCTTGCCACACAGGTTGGTCTTGCCCGACTTGCAAAACTTGCACTCCCGGCACTCCGCCTGGTAGCACGGACCCTTGCTGCCTTGCTGAGAAAACAAGCTTGAGGGGCACTTGTGCTCTATGTCTCACTCACCTGTGGCAGGGCGGACCTTGCCGCACAGGTTGGTCTTCCCGGACTTGAAAAACTTGCACTCGCGGCACTCCGCCTGGTAGCACGGACCCTTGCGGCGTTGCTGAGAAAACAAGCGGGAGAAACACTTGTGCTCCATGACTCACTCACCAGCGGCGGGGAAGACAAACACTGATAATCCCTCACTCACCAGTGGCGGGGCGGACCTTGCCGCACAGGTTGGTCTTCCCGGACTTGCAGAACTTGCACTCGCGGCACTCCGCCTGGTAGCACGGAATCACATGGTCGCCCGGCTGTACACTCGTCACACCCTCACCCACACTCTCCACGATGCTGTCAGGTTGGGAGGAGGGGAGGATAGGAGGTAAGAGAAAGACGTTGATATTTTGCTTGTTGGAACGAAACTACATGGTCGTCGAGTCGACTATTGAGTCGACTCAAAAAGTCATCTCGCCCAGCCGTAGAATTTACCATCTGTGACAGCCATACCACACAGCAGCACACAAGGTACGCACCCAACAGCCTCATGGCCCAGGATGCAAGGGAAGAGCCCCTCGGGATCATGGCTGTCCAGAGTGTACGCGTCCGTGTGGCAGAGCGCGGTGTGTAACACCTAGCCATACCACACAGCAGAGCACAAGACCCACATTCACCCAGCAGCCTCATGGCTCAGGATGCAAGGAAAGAGCCCCTCAGGGTCGTGACCGTCCAGAGTGTACGCGTCCGTGTGGCAGAAACAGCACCCAAGACAACCAGTCAGCTATACCACACACACAGCAGCACCGAAGATACTCACCCAGCAGCCTCATGGCCCAGGATGCAGGGAAAGAGCCCCTCAGGGTCCTGGCCGTCCAGAGTGTACGCGTCCAATTGAAGCCCTCACACCTGCAACACCTAACCACACAGCACACAACCCACTCACCCAGCAGCCTCATGGCCCAGGATGCACGGAAAGAGCCCCTCGGGGTCATGGCCGTCCAGAGTGTACGCGTCGGTGTGGCAGAGGCAACATCCGTGACACCCAGCCATACCGCACAGCAGCACACAACCCACAACCCACTCACCCAGCAGCCTCATGGCCCAGGATGCACGGGAAGAGCCCCTCGGGGTCGTGGCCGTCCAGAGTGTACGCGTCGGTGTGGCAGAGCGCGGTGTGTGTGATGCGGATCCGCACCTCCCCCGCCTGTGGCGGCGCCACCTCCACCTCCTCAATCACCAGCGGCTTGTTCGGCGCCCACGCCACCGCAGCTGCACACAGGGACTTGCAACGATGTTAGGCAGAAAAATCAAATCTGCAATAAGAGAGGACACTGAAGTGAGAAGGCGCCACCTCCACCTCCTCGATCACCAGCGGCTTGTTGAGGGCCCATGCCACCGCCGCTGCACGCAATAAGTCAAGAGAGAAGCAGTAAGGAAAGCGGTCAGGTGGCGTGCCCTTGTAACGAAGAAACTGAAGTGAGAAGGTGCCACCTCCGCCTCCTCGATCACCAGTGGCTTGTTGGGCGCCCATGCCAGCGCCGCTGCACGCAATAAGTCAAGAGAGAAGCAGTAAGGAAAGCGGTCAGGTGGCGTGCCCTTGTAACGAAGAAACTGAAGTGAGAAGGTGCCACCTCCGCCTCCTCGATCACCAGTGGCTTGTTGGGCGCCCATGCCAGCGCCGCTGCACGCAATTAGTCAAGAGAGAAGCAGTAAGGAAAGCGGTCAGGTGGCGTGCCCTTGTAACGAAGAAACTGAAGTGAGAAGGTGCCACCTCCACCTCCTCGATCACCAGTGGCTTGTTCGGCGCCCATGCCAGCGCCGCTACACACAAGTAGTCGCAAAAAATCAGGCCAGAAATTCAAATCTACAATATTAGAAGACACAGAAGCGAGAAGGCGCCACCTCCACCTCCCCCATCACCAACGGCTTGATTCGGCGGCCACGTCACCGCCGCTGCATGAAAGGAGTCAAGGAAGAAACAGTGAGAAGGGGTCATATCCTGAAAGAAAGAAAGAAAGAACCATCAATACTAAAGTCGACTAGCAAGACAAAAAGTTGTGATCGAGTTCCCTACGGCTTGTTGGGACCGCATGACACCCTCCGTTGCTGAAAGTATGCGGCGAAGCTTTCCGTAACAAGCGCCACGCGATAATAGCGGATTCAGGGTGAATCTCTTGAAATACTACGCTTAAAAACCCCACCCCAGTGAAATTCGATGAAATATAGGGACGTTAATTGTCTCACCCTTGCACTTGATAACTTGTCCAGCCGTCGCCATGTGTCTTTGAAAAACGGAATAAGGAGACTCCACGCACGTAGCTCCAACCGCCAATGATAGTCCCTGGCCTAGCGTCAACACACAGCGGGAATTTGACGGAGAATCTGACGGACGGCTGCCGAGAAACGAGAGCAATCTGGACTGCGTGAAAAATCCAGCGCTGCGACCAGACGAACCGACAATAGCGGAAGAACCAGACGAAACCCCAGGCGGCACGGAAACGGCGGAAGCTGAAGAGGCTTGACGGAGGAGGCTACCAGTGGTAGTTAGACTAAGGCGCGCGGATGACGCGATCCGGCGACACGCTGCCGTGAGGGAGAATGCAGACGCCATGCAATAGACGATTCATTCATGCACTTTTTCGAATCCTGATGCCGCGCGGAAAAGAGACGGGGAGGCGGAAGCTTTGGTGCAGGGAAGAGGGAAGCGTGGGGTTGAAAAGGGAGGAGGTGGGGCGAGAAAGCGCGACTGGTTGCGCAGTCTCTTTTAATAAGTACACCGAAATGTAGGTTGCAGATACTTATTAGCCATCATTAATAGGTATGACGTAGAGTACTAACTGTGAAATTCCCCACGAAACAGGTAAAGGTTAAGTAACAGAAGCTAAAAACTCTTCAATTACCTCTAGATTTCAGCTCCTAAAAACACCTCAACAAAACCCCTATGATCAACGCATTACACGTAACGTAAACCATCAGATCAGACCAGTCTCAAGTCATCAACGCAACCGCTCAGCGGGAGAAGTCGTTTCGTGCGAACAGCACTTCGGGATAAAAGCTGCCAAGGAGCACAAGGACGGAACAAGGCGTAATTGCAGTAGCAATGGGGATGCATGCAAGTGTGAGGACAGGAGACCTCAGCCACACCAACACCAAAATGAATGTTTCCACCATGTGTGAATTGTGTGGGATAGCTTGAACGTGTGTGGGATAGATTGAACGTGTGTGGGATAGATTGAACGTGTGTGGGATAGATTGAAGTGTAGGTAGCGAAATTACAACAAATTTGAGGGAATACAGAGCATGGCTGTGCAACGCAAAACGGAAACAAATGTTTGCGGCACAATTGAAAGGAAAGAAAGGTCCAAGGTTGAGAGGCTGAGCGGAAACATAGATGCTGCACTGACCTTGCAATGACCTGCCGGCCTCCGAACCATCTGTTGTGCAGCGACTGCTGTGCTGCCTGTGCCTCTGCTCCGATGGGAACAAGAGTGAACACCAAGACGGAAATGCACGCCATGCAAATGCCAAAGACAGCACATGCCATGACATGCCATGCCATGCCATGCCACAGACAGCACAAGCCATGCCACGCCAGAGACAGTACATATCATGCCATGCCAGAGACGGGACAAGCCATGCCAACAGAACTGGTCACAAGATGGGGAAAGCAATGAACAATGAAAGGCTTGGGGATGTATAAGTGTGCGGGCACATATTTCTAGTGCATGCGTGCGTGTGTGAAAGCGAGGAGGAAGGGCAAGGGGAGACCGAGGGCAAGAATGAGACAGCCAGCAAGAGAGCATGATGAAGATAAATAAAGTGGCGGCGAGGGGGGGACGGTGGGTTGAAGGAACACGGGAAATAAAGAAAGGGAGGTGGTGTGGGGGGGGGGGGGTGGTGGGGGGGAGACGGTTGGAGGAGGAGGAGGAGCAGGAACCTATTGCTTGAAGCTTCACCTGGGGTGCTTGAGAAGAGAACAAAGATCTTCACAATTGCATCGCCTGGCTTCTCCGATTGTTGCTCCTGCACACGGGGGAAACGAACAGGCAGCAGGAATGTGAGAGCGAGGTGAGCCACAAAAGCCCTCGATTAACAAACCGGATTTAAAAAAGGAGAAAAATACCAGGCGCTGACAAAATTTCACCTGAAAGCATTCACCTGACACATGTCCACGTGAAAGCATTAACCTGATAGGCATCCACTTGAGGGCGTTCACCTGATGGGAAACTCACCTGGTAGATGACGACCCGTTCCACCTTGCCAAATTTGCCACATTCATCCGTCACCTGACACAAATTCACCTGACAGGGGGCTCACCTGACAGGGGGCTCACCTGGTAGATGACAACTCGCTCCACCTTGCCAAACTTGCCACATTCATCCGTCACCTGACACAAATTCACCTGACAGGGGGCTCACCTGACAGGGGGCTCACCTGGTAGATGACAACTCGCTCCACCTTGCCAAACTTGCCACATTCATCCGTCACCTGCAGAAGAGGGACAAGGCATGGTTGGGGCGAGGAATTGGGGCGAGGAATTGGGGCGAGGAATTGGGGGAATAGGAGGAACAGAATCTGAGCCGCTTTTGAGGAATCTTCAACCCAACAGACAGGTCACCAAAAGATGGTTAGTCAGAACAGAATAATTCGTGGTTGCATGCAAGAGTGCCATGCGCGATGCTTCACTCACCTCGCTCTGCAAGTCATCATCCACCTCCTCTGGTGTCACCATGTTCCGCATCACAATGCAGCGACAGGGCGAAGCTGGCAGTGATGCTGCTGCCTGGAATGGGCGGATGGAGAGAGGCGAGGAAGAGGCGAACGAAAGGGGGGTCGGAGAAGCAGGGGAAAGGCGGGGGAGGGGAAGGGAGAGAGAACATGAGAGAACGAGAGAGAAGAGCGGAAGTGAGTTCATATGGGAACGCATGTGCGCAGATAAAAGCAAGGAACGCATGGCATGTAACCTGGGAACGACTGCGAAGGAATATGGAAATACATGGAAATGCCCATCTGAGAAGGCAGGTCGTACCTCTGCTGGGGAGGCAGCAGCGACAGCGCCAGGCACTGCTCCCATCAGCCCCGCCCCTCCTGCTGCTGCTGGCAAGGCAGCACCGGGGAACCCCGGGATAGCCGGCATGCCTGGAATGGCGCTTGGGAAGGCAGGTGCCGCTGGTGAAGCAGCGCTTGGGGCATGTGAGGCAGAGGCCCATCCGACCTGTGGCACGGGGGGAAGGGAGTGAGTGGGCAGCAGCAGCGCTCGTGAGAATAGCCCATCCAACATAGCCGCCATGCCTGGGATGGCGCTTGGGAAGGCAGGTGCTGCTGGTGAGGCGGCTGAGGGGGCGTGGGAGGCTGAAGCCCATCCAACCTGGGAGGAGAGAGGGGGAACAGAGCAAGGGGGACGGGAGCAAGGGTAAGTGCGTGAGAGGGAAGGGCGAGGGGAGGCAGGTGTTGCTGGTGAGGCAGCTGTTGGAGCGTGGGAAGCTGAAGCCCACCCGACCTGGTTAGTGGGCAGAGGGAAGAGCGGGGGAAGGACAATGTGATGGTGCTCTGCTTGTGGTGCATGCAGGAATGAAGCCCATCCATGCCATGCCATGCCATCACAATGTGAGCACCCACCCATCTGAAAAGTCTGCCACCCACCTTGAGCTGTCTGCCACACACCTTGAGCTGTCTGCCACACACCTTGAGCTGTCTGCCACACACCTTGAGCTGTCTGCCACACACCTTGAGCTGTCTGCCACACACCTTGAGCTGTCTGCCACACACCTTGAGCTGTCTGCCACACACCTTGAGCTGTCTGCCACACACCTTGAGCTGTCTGCCACACACCTTGAGCTGTCTGCCACACACCTTGAGCTGCCTGCCACACACCTTGAGCTGCCTGCCACACACCTTGAGCTGCCTGCCACACACCTTGAGCTGTCTGCCACACACCTTGAGCTGTCTGCCACACACCTTGAGCTGTCTGCCACACACCTTGAGCTGTCTGCCACACACCTTGAGCTGTCTGCCACACACCTTGAGCTGTCTGCCACACACCTTGAGCTGTCTGCCACACACCTTGAGCTGTCTGCCACACACCTTGAGCTGTCTGCCACACACCTTGAGCTGTCTGCCACACACCTTGAGCTGTCTGCCACACACCTTGAGCTGTCTGCCACACACCTTGAGCTGTCTGCCACACACCTTGAGCTGTCTGCCACACACCTTGAGCTGTCTGCCACACACCTTGAGCTGTCTGCCACACACCTTGAGCTGTCTGCCACACACCTTGAGCTGTCTGCCACACACCTTGAGCTGTCTGCCACACACCTTGAGCTGTCTGCCACACACCTTGAGCTGTCTGCCACACACCTTGAGCTGTCTGCCACCACCTTGAGCTGTCTGCCACACACCTTGAGCTGTCTGCCACACACCTTGAGCTGTCTGCCACCACCTTGAGCTGTCTGCCACACACCTTGAGCTGTCTGCCACACACCTTGAGCTGTCTGCCACACACCTTGAGCTGTCTGCCACCCACCTTGAGCTGTCTGCCACACACCTTGAGCTGTCTGCCACACACCTTGAGCTGTCTGCCACACACCTTGAGCTGTCTGCCACCACCTTGAGCTGTCTGCCACCCACCTTGAGCTGTCTGCCACACACCTTGAGCTGTCTGCCACACACCTTGAGCTGTCTGCCACACACCTTGAGCTGTCTGCCACACACCTTGAGCTGTCTGCCACACACCTTGAGCTGTCTGCCACACACCTTGAGCTGTCTGCCACACACCTTGAGCTGTCTGCCACACACCTTGAGCTGTCTGCCACACACCTTGAGCTGTCTGCCACACACCTTGAGCTGTCTGCCACACACCTTGAGCTGTCTGCCACACACCTTGAGCTGTCTGCCACACACCTTGAGCTGTCTGCCACACACCTTGAGCTGTCTGCCACACACCTTGAGCTGTCTGCCACACACCTTGAGCTGTCTGCCACACACCTTGAGCTGTCTGCCACACACCTTGAGCTGTCTGCCACACACCTTGAGCTGTCTGCCACACACCTTGAGCTGTCTGCCACACACCTTGAGCTGTCTGCCACACACCTTGAGCTGTCTGCCACACACCTTGAGCTGTCTGCCACACACCTTGAGCTGTCTGCCACACACCTTGAGCTGTCTGCCACACACCTTGAGCTGTCTGCCACACACCTTGAGCTGTCTGCCACACACCTTGAGCTGTCTGCCACACACCTTGAGCTGTCTGCCACACACCTTGAGCTGTCTGCCACACACCTTGAGCTGTCTGCCACACACCTTGAGCTGTCTGCCACACACCTTGAGCTGTCTGCCACACACCTTGAGCTGTCTGCCACACACCTTGAGCTGTCTGCCACACACCTTGAGCTGTCTGCCACACACCTTGAGCTGTCTGCCACACACCTTGAGCTGTCTGCCACACACCTTGAGCTGTCTGCCACACACCTTGAGCTGTCTGCCACACACCTTGAGCTGTCTGCCACCACCTTGAGCTGTCTGCCACACACCTTGAGCTGTCTGCCACACACCTTGAGCTGTCTGCCACACACCTTGAGCTGTCTGCCACACACCTTGAGCTGTCTGCCACACACCTTGAGCTGCCTGCCACACACCTTGAGCTGCTGCCACACACCTTGAGCTGTCTGCCACACACCTTGAGCTGTCTGCCACACACCTTGAGCTGTCTGCCACACACCTTGAGCTGTCTGCCACACACCTTGAGCTGTCTGCCACACACCTTGAGCTGTCTGCCACACACCTTGAGCTGTCTGCCACACACCTTGAGCTGTCTGCCACACACCTTGAGCTGTCTGCCACACACCTTGAGCTGTCTGCCACACACCTTGAGCTGTCTGCCACACACCTTGAGCTGTCTGCCACACACCTTGAGCTGTCTGCCACACACCTTGAGCTGTCTGCCACACACCTTGAGCTGTCTGCCACACACCTTGAGCTGTCTGCCACACACCTTGAGCTGTCTGCCACACACCTTGAGCTGTCTGCCACACACCTTGAGCTGTCTGCCACACACCTTGAGCTGTCTGCCACACACCTTGAGCTGTCTGCCACACACCTTGAGCTGTCTGCCACACACCTTGAGCTGTCTGCCACACACCTTGAGCTGTCTGCCACACACCTTGAGCTGTCTGCCACACACCTTGAGCTGTCTGCCACACACCTTGAGCTGTCTGCCACACACCTTGAGCTGTCTGCCACACACCTTGAGCTGTCTGCCACACACCTTGAGCTGTCTGCCACACACCTTGAGCTGTCTGCCACCACCTTGAGCTGTCTGCCACACACCTTGAGCTGTCTGCCACACACCTTGAGCTGTCTGCCACCACCTTGAGCTGTCTGCCACACACCTTGAGCTGTCTGCCACACACCTTGAGCTGTCTGCCACACACCTTGAGCTGTCTGCCACACACCTTGAGCTGTCTGCCACACACCTTGAGCTGTCTGCCACACACCTTGAGCTGTCTGCCACACACCTTGAGCTGTCTGCCACACACCTTGAGCTGTCTGCCACACACCTTGAGCTGTCTGCCACACACCTTGAGCTGTCTGCCACACACCTTGAGCTGTCTGCCACACACCTTGAGCTGTCTGCCACACACCTTGAGCTGTCTGCCACACACCTTGAGCTGTCTGCCACACACCTTGAGCTGTCTGCCACACACCTTGAGCTGTCTGCCACACACCTTGAGCTGTCTGCCACCACCTTGAGCTGTCTGCCACACACCTTGAGCTGTCTGCCACACACCTTGAGCTGTCTGCCACACACCTTGAGCTGTCTGCCACACACCTTGAGCTGTCTGCCACCACCTTGAGCTGTCTGCCACACACCTTGAGCTGTCTGCCACACACCTTGAGCTGTCTGCCACACACCTTGAGCTGTCTGCCACACACCTTGAGCTGTCTGCCACACACCTTGAGCTGTCTGCCACACACCTTGAGCTGTCTGCCACACACCTTGAGCTGTCTGCCACACACCTTGAGCTGTCTGCCACACACCTTGAGCTGTCTGCCACACACCTTGAGCTGTCTGCCACACACCTTGAGCTGTCTGCCACACACCTTGAGCTGTCTGCCACACACCTTGAGCTGTCTGCCACACACCTTGAGCTGTCTGCCACACACCTTGAGCTGTCTGCCACACACCTTGAGCTGTCTGCCACACACCTTGAGCTGTCTGCCACACACCTTGAGCTGTCTGCCACACACCTTGAGCTGTCTGCCACACACCTTGAGCTGTCTGCCACACACCTTGAGCTGTCTGCCACACACCTTGAGCTGTCTGCCACACACCTTGAGCTGTCTGCCACACACCTTGAGCTGTCTGCCACACACCTTGAGCTGTCTGCCACACACCTTGAGCTGTCTGCCACACACCTTGAGCTGTCTGCCACACACCTTGAGCTGTCTGCCACACACCTTGAGCTGTCTGCCACACACCTTGAGCTGTCTGCCACACACCTTGAGCTGTCTGCCACACACCTTGAGCTGTCTGCCACACACCTTGAGCTGTCTGCCACACACCTTGAGCTGTCTGCCACACACCTTGAGCTGTCTGCCACACACCTTGAGCTGTCTGCCACACACCTTGAGCTGTCTGCCACACACCTTGAGCTGTCTGCCACACACCTTGAGCTGCTGCCACACACCTTGAGCTGTCTGCCACACACCTTGAGCTGTCTGCCACACACCTTGAGCTGTCTGCCACACACCTTGAGCTGTCTGCCACCCACCTTGAGCTGTCTGCCACACACCTTGAGCTGTCTGCCACACACCTTGAGCTGCCTGCCACACACCTTGAGCTGCCTGCCACACACCTTGAGCTGCCTGCCACACACCTTGAGCTGCCTGCCACCCACCTTGAGCTGTCTGCCACCCACCTTGAGCTGTCTGCCACACACCTTGAGCTGCCTGCCACACACCTTGAGCTGCCTGCCACACACCTTGAGCTGCCTGCCACACACCTTGAGCTGCCTGCCACACACCTTGAGCTGCCTGCCACACACCTTGAGCTGCCTGCCACACACCTTGAGCTGTCTGCCACACACCTTGAGCTGCCTGCCACACACCTTGAGCTGCCTGCCACCCACCTTGAGCTGCCTGCCACCCACCTTGAGCTGCCTGCCACACACCTTGAGCTGTCTGCCACACACCTTGAGCTGCCTGCCACCACCTTGAGCTGCCTGCCACACACCTTGAGCTGTCTGCCACACACCTTGAGCTGTCTGCCACACACCTTGAGCTGTCTGCCACACACCTTGAGCTGCCTGCCACACACCTTGAGCTGCCTGCCACACACCTTGAGCTGCCTGCCACACACCTTGAGCTGCCTGCCACACACCTTGAGCTGCCTGCCACACACCTTGAGCTGCCTGCCACACACCTTGAGCTGCCTGCCACACACCTTGAGCTGTCTGCCACACACCTTGAGCTGTCTGCCACACACCTTGAGCTGTCTGCCACACACCTTGAGCTGCCTGCCACACACCTTGAGCTGCCTGCCACACACCTTGAGCTGCCTGCCACACACCTTGAGCTGTCTGCCACACACCTTGAGCTGCCTGCCACACACCTTGAGCTGCCTGCCACACACCTTGAGCTGCCTGCCACACACCTTGAGCTGCCTGCCACACACCTTGAGCTGCCTGCCACCACCTTGAGCTGTCTGCCACACACCTTGAGCTGTCTGCCACACACCTTGAGCTGTCTGCCACACACCTTGAGCTGCCTGCCACACACCTTGAGCTGCCTGCCACACACCTTGAGCTGCCTGCCACACACCTTGAGCTGCCTGCCACCCACCTTGAGCTGTCTGCCACCCACCTTGAGCTGTCTGCCACACACCTTGAGCTGCCTGCCACACACCTTGAGCTGCCTGCCACACACCTTGAGCTGCCTGCCACACACCTTGAGCTGCCTGCCACACACCTTGAGCTGCCTGCCACACACCTTGAGCTGTCTGCCACACACCTTGAGCTGCCTGCCACCCACCTTGAGCTGTCTGCCACACACCTTGAGCTGTCTGCCACACACCTTGAGCTGTCTGCCACACACCTTGAGCTGCCTGCCACACACCTTGAGCTGCCTGCCACACACCTTGAGCTGTCTGCCACACACCTTGAGCTGCCTGCCACACACCTTGAGCTGTCTGCCACACACCTTGAGCTGTCTGCCACACACCTTGAGCTGTCTGCCACACACCTTGAGCTGTCTGCCACACACCTTGAGCTGTCTGCCACACACCTTGAGCTGTCTGCCACACACCTTGAGCTGTCTGCCACACACCTTGAGCTGTCTGCCACACACCTTGAGCTGTCTGCCACACACCTTGAGCTGCCTGCCACACACCTTGAGCTGCCTGCCACACACCTTGAGCTGCCTGCCACACACCTTGAGCTGCCTGCCACACACCTTGAGCTGTCTGCCACACACCTTGAGCTGTCTGCCACACACCTTGAGCTGTCTGCCACACACCTTGAGCTGCCTGCCACACACCTTGAGCTGCCTGCCACACACCTTGAGCTGCCTGCCACACACCTTGAGCTGCCTGCCACACACCTTGAGCTGCCTGCCACACACCTTGAGCTGTCTGCCACACACCTTGAGCTGGCTGCCACACACCTTGAGCTGTCTGCCACACACCTTGAGCTGTCTGCCACACACCTTGAGCTGTCTGCCACACACCTTGAGCTGTCTGCCACACACCTTGAGCTGTCTGCCACACACCTTGAGCTGTCTGCCACACACCTTGAGCTGTCTGCCACACACCTTGAGCTGTCTGCCACACACCTTGAGCTGTCTGCCACACACCTTGAGCTGTCTGCCACACACCTTGAGCTGTCTGCCACACACCTTGAGCTGTCTGCCACACACCTTGAGCTGTCTGCCACACACCTTGAGCTGTCTGCCACACACCTTGAGCTGTCTGCCACACACCTTGAGCTGTCTGCCACACACCTTGAGCTGCCTGCCACACACCTTGAGCTGTCTGCCACACACCTTGAGCTGCCTGCCACACACCTTGAGCTGCCTGCCACACACCTTGAGCTGTCTGCCACACACCTTGAGCTGCCTGCCACACACCTTGAGCTGTCTGCCACACACCTTGAGCTGTCTGCCACACACCTTGAGCTGTCTGCCACACACCTTGAGCTGTCTGCCACACACCTTGAGCTGTCTGCCACACACCTTGAGCTGTCTGCCACACACCTTGAGCTGTCTGCCACACACCTTGAGCTGTCTGCCACACACCTTGAGCTGTCTGCCACACACCTTGAGCTGTCTGCCACACACCTTGAGCTGTCTGCCACACACCTTGAGCTGTCTGCCACACACCTTGAGCTGTCTGCCACACACCTTGAGCTGTCTGCCACACACCTTGAGCTGCCTGCCACACACCTTGAGCTGTCTGCCACACACCTTGAGCTGTCTGCCACACACCTTGAGCTGTCTGCCACACACCTTGAGCTGCCTGCCACACACCTTGAGCTGCCTGCCACACACCTTGAGCTGTCTGCCACACACCTTGAGCTGCCTGCCACACACCTTGAGCTGTCTGCCACACACCTTGAGCTGCCTGCCACACACCTTGAGCTGTCTGCCACACACCTTGAGCTGTCTGCCACACACCTTGAGCTGTCTGCCACACACCTTGAGCTGTCTGCCACACACCTTGAGCTGTCTGCCACACACCTTGAGCTGTCTGCCACACACCTTGAGCTGTCTGCCACACACCTTGAGCTGTCTGCCACACACCTTGAGCTGTCTGCCACACACCTTGAGCTGTCTGCCACACACCTTGAGCTGTCTGCCACACACCTTGAGCTGTCTGCCACACACCTTGAGCTGCCTGCCACACACCTTGAGCTGCCTGCCACACACCTTGAGCTGCCTGCCACACACCTTGAGCTGCCTGCCACACACCTTGAGCTGTCTGCCACACACCTTGAGCTGTCTGCCACACACCTTGAGCTGCCTGCCACACACCTTGAGCTGCCTGCCACACACCTTGAGCTGCCTGCCACACACCTTGAGCTGCCTGCCACACACCTTGAGCTGCCTGCCACACACCTTGAGCTGTCTGCCACACACCTTGAGCTGTCTGCCACACACCTTGAGCTGTCTGCCACACACCTTGAGCTGTCTGCCACACACCTTGAGCTGTCTGCCACACACCTTGAGCTGTCTGCCACACACCTTGAGCTGTCTGCCACACACCTTGAGCTGTCTGCCACACACCTTGAGCTGTCTGCCACACACCTTGAGCTGTCTGCCACACACCTTGAGCTGTCTGCCACACACCTTGAGCTGTCTGCCACACACCTTGAGCTGTCTGCCACACACCTTGAGCTGTCTGCCACACACCTTGAGCTGCTGCCACACACCTTGAGCTGCCTGCCACACACCTTGAGCTGCCTGCCACACACCTTGAGCTGCCTGCCACACACCTTGAGCTGCCTGCCACACACCTTGAGCTGCCTGCCACACACCTTGAGCTGCCTGCCACACACCTTGAGCTGTCTGCCACACACCTTGAGCTGTCTGCCACACACCTTGAGCTGCTGCCACACACCTTGAGCTGCCTGCCACACACCTTGAGCTGCCTGCCACACACCTTGAGCTGCCTGCCACACACCTTGAGCTGCCTGCCACACACCTTGAGCTGCCTGCCACACACCTTGAGCTGCCTGCCACACACCTTGAGCTGCCTGCCACACACCTTGAGCTGCCTGCCACACACCTTGAGCTGCCTGCCACACACCTTGAGCTGCCTGCCACACACCTTGAGCTGTCTGCCACACACCTTGAGCTGCCTGCCACACACCTTGAGCTGCCTGCCACACACCTTGAGCTGTCTGCCACCCACCTTGAGCTGTCTGCCACACACCTTGAGCTGCCTGCCACACACCTTGAGCTGCCTGCCACACACCTTGAGCTGTCTGCCACACACCTTGAGCTGTCTGCCACACACCTTGAGCTGCCTGCCACACACCTTGAGCTGTCTGCCACACACCTTGAGCTGCCTGCCACACACCTTGAGCTGCCTGCCACACACCTTGAGCTGCCTGCCACACACCTTGAGCTGCCTGCCACACACCTTGAGCTGCCTGCCACACACCTTGAGCTGCTGCCACACACCTTGAGCTGTCTGCCACACACCTTGAGCTGTCTGCCACACACCTTGAGCTGTCTGCCACACACCTTGAGCTGTCTGCCACACACCTTGAGCTGTCTGCCACACACCTTGAGCTGTCTGCCACACACCTTGAGCTGTCTGCCACACACCTTGAGCTGCCTGCCACACACCTTGAGCTGCCTGCCACACACCTTGAGCTGCCTGCCACACACCTTGAGCTGCCTGCCACACACCTTGAGCTGTCTGCCACACACCTTGAGCTGTCTGCCACACACCTTGAGCTGTCTGCCACACACCTTGAGCTGTCTGCCACACACCTTGAGCTGCTGCCACACACCTTGAGCTGCCTGCCACACACCTTGAGCTGCCTGCCACACACCTTGAGCTGCCTGCCACACACCTTGAGCTGTCTGCCACACACCTTGAGCTGTCTGCCACACACCTTGAGCTGTCTGCCACACACCTTGAGCTGTCTGCCACACACCTTGAGCTGTCTGCCACACACCTTGAGCTGTCTGCCACACACCTTGAGCTGTCTGCCACACACCTTGAGCTGTCTGCCACACACCTTGAGCTGTCTGCCACACACCTTGAGCTGTCTGCCACACACCTTGAGCTGTCTGCCACACACCTTGAGCTGTCTGCCACACACCTTGAGCTGTCTGCCACACACCTTGAGCTGTCTGCCACACACCTTGAGCTGTCTGCCACACACCTTGAGCTGTCTGCCACACACCTTGAGCTGTCTGCCACACACCTTGAGCTGTCTGCCACACACCTTGAGCTGTCTGCCACACACCTTGAGCTGTCTGCCACACACCTTGAGCTGTCTGCCACACACCTTGAGCTGTCTGCCACACACCTTGAGCTGTCTGCCACACACCTTGAGCTGTCTGCCACACACCTTGAGCTGTCTGCCACACACCTTGAGCTGTCTGCCACACACCTTGAGCTGTCTGCCACACACCTTGAGCTGTCTGCCACACACCTTGAGCTGTCTGCCACACACCTTGAGCTGTCTGCCACACACCTTGAGCTGTCTGCCACACACCTTGAGCTGTCTGCCACACACCTTGAGCTGTCTGCCACACACCTTGAGCTGTCTGCCACACACCTTGAGCTGTCTGCCACACACCTTGAGCTGCCTGCCACACACCTTGAGCTGCCTGCCACACACCTTGAGCTGCCTGCCACACACCTTGAGCTGCCTGCCACACACCTTGAGCTGCCTGCCACACACCTTGAGCTGCCTGCCACACACCTTGAGCTGCCTGCCACACACCTTGAGCTGCCTGCCACACACCTTGAGCTGCCTGCCACACACCTTGAGCTGCCTGCCACACACCTTGAGCTGTCTGCCACACACCTTGAGCTGCCTGCCACACACCTTGAGCTGCCTGCCACACACCTTGAGCTGCCTGCCACACACCTTGAGCTGCCTGCCACACACCTTGAGCTGTCTGCCACACACCTTGAGCTGTCTGCCACACACCTTGAGCTGTCTGCCACACACCTTGAGCTGTCTGCCACACACCTTGAGCTGTCTGCCACACACCTTGAGCTGTCTGCCACACACCTTGAGCTGTCTGCCACACACCTTGAGCTGTCTGCCACACACCTTGAGCTGCCTGCCACACACCTTGAGCTGTCTGCCACACACCTTGAGCTGTCTGCCACACACCTTGAGCTGTCTGCCACACACCTTGAGCTGTCTGCCACACACCTTGAGCTGTCTGCCACACACCTTGAGCTGTCTGCCACACACCTTGAGCTGTCTGCCACACACCTTGAGCTGTCTGCCACACACCTTGAGCTGTCTGCCACACACCTTGAGCTGTCTGCCACACACCTTGAGCTGTCTGCCACACACCTTGAGCTGTCTGCCACACACCTTGAGCTGTCTGCCACACACCTTGAGCTGTCTGCCACACACCTTGAGCTGTCTGCCACACACCTTGAGCTGCCTGCCACACACCTTGAGCTGCCTGCCACACACCTTGAGCTGCCTGCCACACACCTTGAGCTGCCTGCCACACACCTTGAGCTGTCTGCCACACACCTTGAGCTGTCTGCCACACACCTTGAGCTGTCTGCCACACACCTTGAGCTGTCTGCCACACACCTTGAGCTGTCTGCCACACACCTTGAGCTGCCTGCCACACACCTTGAGCTGCCTGCCACACACCTTGAGCTGCCTGCCACACACCTTGAGCTGCCTGCCACACACCTTGAGCTGCCTGCCACACACCTTGAGCTGCCTGCCACACACCTTGAGCTGCCTGCCACACACCTTGAGCTGCCTGCCACACACCTTGAGCTGTCTGCCACACACCTTGAGCTGCCTGCCACACACCTTGAGCTGCCTGCCACACACCTTGAGCTGTCTGCCACACACCTTGAGCTGCCTGCCACACACCTTGAGCTGTCTGCCACACACCTTGAGCTGCCTGCCACACACCTTGAGCTGCCTGCCACACACCTTGAGCTGCCTGCCACACACCTTGAGCTGCCTGCCACACACCTTGAGCTGCCTGCCACACACCTTGAGCTGCCTGCCACACACCTTGAGCTGTCTGCCACACACCTTGAGCTGCCTGCCACACACCTTGAGCTGCCTGCCACACACCTTGAGCTGCCTGCCACACACCTTGAGCTGCCTGCCACACACCTTGAGCTGCCTGCCACACACCTTGAGCTGCCTGCCACACACCTTGAGCTGCCTGCCACACACCTTGAGCTGCCTGCCACACACCTTGAGCTGTCTGCCACACACCTTGAGCTGTCTGCCACACACCTTGAGCTGCCTGCCACACACCTTGAGCTGTCTGCCACACACCTTGAGCTGTCTGCCACACACCTTGAGCTGTCTGCCACACACCTTGAGCTGTCTGCCACACACCTTGAGCTGTCTGCCACACACCTTGAGCTGCCTGCCACACACCTTGAGCTGTCTGCCACACACCTTGAGCTGTCTGCCACACACCTTGAGCTGTCTGCCACACACCTTGAGCTGTCTGCCACACACCTTGAGCTGTCTGCCACACACCTTGAGCTGTCTGCCACACACCTTGAGCTGCCTGCCACACACCTTGAGCTGCCTGCCACACACCTTGAGCTGCCTGCCACACACCTTGAGCTGCCTGCCACACACCTTGAGCTGCCTGCCACACACCTTGAGCTGTCTGCCACACACCTTGAGCTGTCTGCCACACACCTTGAGCTGTCTGCCACACACCTTGAGCTGCCTGCCACACACCTTGAGCTGCCTGCCACACACCTTGAGCTGCTGCCACACACCTTGAGCTGCCTGCCACACACCTTGAGCTGTCTGCCACACACCTTGAGCTGTCTGCCACACACCTTGAGCTGTCTGCCACACACCTTGAGCTGTCTGCCACACACCTTGAGCTGTCTGCCACACACCTTGAGCTGTCTGCCACACACCTTGAGCTGTCTGCCACACACCTTGAGCTGTCTGCCACACACCTTGAGCTGTCTGCCACACACCTTGAGCTGTCTGCCACACACCTTGAGCTGTCTGCCACACACCTTGAGCTGTCTGCCACACACCTTGAGCTGTCTGCCACACACCTTGAGCTGTCTGCCACACACCTTGAGCTGCTGCCACACACCTTGAGCTGCCTGCCACACACCTTGAGCTGCCTGCCACACACCTTGAGCTGCCTGCCACACACCTTGAGCTGCCTGCCACACACCTTGAGCTGTCTGCCACACACCTTGAGCTGTCTGCCACACACCTTGAGCTGTCTGCCACACACCTTGAGCTGTCTGCCACACACCTTGAGCTGTCTGCCACACACCTTGAGCTGCTGCCACACACCTTGAGCTGTCTGCCACACACCTTGAGCTGCCTGCCACACACCTTGAGCTGCCTGCCACACACCTTGAGCTGTCTGCCACACACCTTGAGCTGTCTGCCACACACCTTGAGCTGTCTGCCACACACCTTGAGCTGTCTGCCACACACCTTGAGCTGTCTGCCACACACCTTGAGCTGTCTGCCACACACCTTGAGCTGTCTGCCACACACCTTGAGCTGTCTGCCACACACCTTGAGCTGTCTGCCACACACCTTGAGCTGCCTGCCACACACCTTGAGCTGCCTGCCACACACCTTGAGCTGCCTGCCACACACCTTGAGCTGCCTGCCACACACCTTGAGCTGCCTGCCACACACCTTGAGCTGCCTGCCACACACCTTGAGCTGCCTGCCACACACCTTGAGCTGCTGCCACACACCTTGAGCTGTCTGCCACACACCTTGAGCTGTCTGCCACACACCTTGAGCTGCCTGCCACACACCTTGAGCTGCCTGCCACACACCTTGAGCTGTCTGCCACACACCTTGAGCTGTCTGCCACACACCTTGAGCTGCCTGCCACACACCTTGAGCTGTCTGCCACACACCTTGAGCTGCCTGCCACACACCTTGAGCTGTCTGCCACACACCTTGAGCTGCCTGCCACACACCTTGAGCTGCCTGCCACACACCTTGAGCTGCCTGCCACACACCTTGAGCTGCCTGCCACACACCTTGAGCTGCCTGCCACACACCTTGAGCTGCCTGCCACACACCTTGAGCTGTCTGCCACACACCTTGAGCTGTCTGCCACACACCTTGAGCTGCCTGCCACACACCTTGAGCTGTCTGCCACACACCTTGAGCTGTCTGCCACACACCTTGAGCTGTCTGCCACACACCTTGAGCTGCCTGCCACACACCTTGAGCTGTCTGCCACACACCTTGAGCTGCCTGCCACACACCTTGAGCTGTCTGCCACACACCTTGAGCTGTCTGCCACACACCTTGAGCTGCCTGCCACACACCTTGAGCTGCCTGCCACACACCTTGAGCTGCCTGCCACACACCTTGAGCTGCCTGCCACACACCTTGAGCTGCCTGCCACACACCTTGAGCTGTCTGCCACACACCTTGAGCTGCTGCCACACACCTTGAGCTGTCTGCCACACACCTTGAGCTGTCTGCCACACACCTTGAGCTGTCTGCCACACACCTTGAGCTGTCTGCCACACACCTTGAGCTGTCTGCCACACACCTTGAGCTGTCTGCCACACACCTTGAGCTGCTGCCACACACCTTGAGCTGTCTGCCACACACCTTGAGCTGTCTGCCACACACCTTGAGCTGTCTGCCACACACCTTGAGCTGTCTGCCACACACCTTGAGCTGTCTGCCACACACCTTGAGCTGTCTGCCACACACCTTGAGCTGTCTGCCACACACCTTGAGCTGTCTGCCACACACCTTGAGCTGTCTGCCACACACCTTGAGCTGTCTGCCACACACCTTGAGCTGCCTGCCACACACCTTGAGCTGCCTGCCACACACCTTGAGCTGCCTGCCACACACCTTGAGCTGCTGCCACACACCTTGAGCTGTCTGCCACACACCTTGAGCTGTCCTGCCACACACCTTGAGCTGCCTGCCACACACCTTGAGCTGCCTGCCACACACCTTGAGCTGCCTGCCACACACCTTGAGCTGCCTGCCACACACCTTGAGCTGTCTGCCACACACCTTGAGCTGTCTGCCACACACCTTGAGCTGTCTGCCACACACCTTGAGCTGTCTGCCACACACCTTGAGCTGTCTGCCACACACCTTGAGCTGTCTGCCACACACCTTGAGCTGTCTGCCACACACCTTGAGCTGTCTGCCACACACCTTGAGCTGTCTGCCACACACCTTGAGCTGTCTGCCACACACCTTGAGCTGTCTGCCACACACCTTGAGCTGTCTGCCACACACCTTGAGCTGTCTGCCACACACCTTGAGCTGTCTGCCACACACCTTGAGCTGTCTGCCACACACCTTGAGCTGTCTGCCACACACCTTGAGCTGTCTGCCACACACCTTGAGCTGTCTGCCACACACCTTGAGCTGTCTGCCACACACCTTGAGCTGTCTGCCACACACCTTGAGCTGTCTGCCACACACCTTGAGCTGTCTGCCACACACCTTGAGCTGTCTGCCACACACCTTGAGCTGTCTGCCACACACCTTGAGCTGTCTGCCACACACCTTGAGCTGTCTGCCACACACCTTGAGCTGTCTGCCACACACCTTGAGCTGTCTGCCACACACCTTGAGCTGTCTGCCACACACCTTGAGCTGTCTGCCACACACCTTGAGCTGTCTGCCACACACCTTGAGCTGTCTGCCACACACCTTGAGCTGTCTGCCACACACCTTGAGCTGTCTGCCACACACCTTGAGCTGTCTGCCACACACCTTGAGCTGCCTGCCACACACCTTGAGCTGGCCACACACCTTGAGCTGTCGTTCATGCACTGGATGGCACCCTTGGCTGCTTCCTCCGTCTCAAACCTGCAAGGAGCGCGCACAGTAAGAAGGGGGAAAAAGCGAGGAGGGGAAGTGGGAAGAGGGAAGAAGGGATACGGGGAGGGAGGGGAGGGGAGAGAGGGAGGAAGGGATGCACACTTGCACATGAAGTTACAAAAGAAAAGAACAAAAACACACACAGACACCATGGCACCACAAACCGCAAAAAAAGGGGTGGAAGGGGAGAAGCGAAGCAGCAGGGGAAGGTGAGGAACGAGGCAGGGCGAGAGCAAGAGCGTTTGACTCACTCAACAAAACCGTAGCCCTTGTGCTTGCCCGTGTCGGGGTTGGGAATGAGCTGGCACGACTGCAAAATCATTGATTGTGGTGGCACAGGAAAACGTGAGGTGCGTGGAGGAAAGTGGAAACATGGTGAAGGGAGCAATGTTCAAAAGCAGACGTGGTTGCACGGGGGAGTGGGAGAGGGGGGAGCGGGGAAAGGGTGTTGGAAGTTTATGACGGCAAGAGAGAACGCGGAAAACGGAGGGAGAACTTCTTTGAACAAACGAAGACAGGGAGTTGCGGGGAGGTAAGTCAAGGGAAGAAGGGAAGATACGAGGAAAAAACGACGAGAGACTGTTGCATCTTGATGCGACTAACATCCGCACCATGATGGGACCGAATGCCTGGAAGATGGCCATGATATCCGGCTCTGCAAGGTCGTACATGATGGAGCCCACATACACGCGCGTGTTCACCGCTGGCTTTTATTGCACCAACAGCACCCCACAGCAGCCCCCGCAGCCCCCGCAGCCGCCCCAGCCCTCACAGCACCCCACAGCACCCCACAGCACCCCACAGCAGCACTCCTTTCATACCTTGATGGGGCCGAAGGCCTGGAAGATGGCCATGATGTTTGGCTCTGCGAGGTCGTACACGATGGAGCCCACATACACGCGCGTGTTCACTGCTAGCTTCTGCGGCACCACATCACGCCACAGCAGCCCCCACAGCATCCCACAGCACTCCACAGCACCCCACAGCATCCCACAGCGCCCTTCACGCACCTTGATGGGGCCGAAGGCCTGGAAGATGGCCATGATATCCGGCTCTGCAAGGTCGTACACGATCGAGCCCACATACACGCGCGTGTTCACTGCTGGCTTCTGCGGCACCTCGGCAACTCCTGGCACCTTCTGGTTGATGCTGCTCGCAATCACCTGCGAGGAGATAGGCAAATATGGGAAAGTGGAAAATGGGAAGTGGGCCAGGCAAAAAATGGCCATGCGTCCAGTCCAGGCCAAAAACAACCTGGAAAGAATCATCAAGTCACACCTGACTTTTGAGACGCCTCAAAATTCCAGGCCAAGAATCAGCCTGGGAAGAATCATTAAGTCACACTTGATTGCCGAACAAGCTTTAAGCCAACCTACACCCCAACCCGCGTGCAGACTGCCTAAACCCCCAAACCACCTGAAAGGCCGCCTGAACACCAAACCACCTGAGAAGCCACCTGAAACTGCAACGCCAGCTCACCTGAGCCTGGAGCTTTGCGGTGGCGAGGAGGTTGGGGTTGGGAGCAGCCAGTGCAGCTTGGCTGAACGCGAGAGCTGATGCCGATCAGCAAGGAGTGCAGGGGCAGAGGGGTAGAGGGGTAGAGGGTAGAGGGGGCAGAGGGGCAGAGGGGGCAGAGGGGCAGAGGGGCAGAGGGGCAGAGGGGCAGAGGGGCAGAGGGGCAGAGGGGCAGAGGGGCAGAGGGGCAGAGGGGCAGAGGGGCAGAGGGGCAGAGGGGCAGAGGGGCAGAGGGGCAGAGGGGCAGAGGGGCAGAGGGGCAGAGGGGCAGAGGGGCAGAGGGGCAGAGGGGCAGAGGGGCAGAGGGGCAGAGGGGCAGAGGGGCAGAGGGGCAGAGGGGCAGAGGGGCAGAGGGGCAGAGGGGCAGAGGGGGAGGGGCAGAGGGGCAGAGGGGCAGAGGGGCAGAGGGGCAGAGGGGCAGAGGGGCAGAGGGGCAGAGGGGCAGAGGGGCAGAGGGGCAGAGGGGCAGAGGGGCAGAGGGGCAGAGGGGCAGAGGGGCAGAGGGGCAGAGGGGCAGAGGGGCAGAGGGGCAGAGGGGCAGAGGGGCAGAGAGGACAGAGGGGCAGAGGGGCAGAGAGGGCAGAGGGGCAGAGGGGCAGAGAGGGCAGAGGGGCAGAGGGGCAGAGAGGGCAGAGGGGCAGAGGGGCAGAGGGGCAGAGGGGCAGAGGGGCAGAGGGGGCAGAGGGGGCAGAGGCCGAACAGGGGCAGAGGGGGGATAGAAGCAGAGGGGCAGAGGGGGCACAGGGGGCAAAGGGAGGATAGGAATGAGAAGGGCACATGGCAGAATGCAAGAAGAGAAGAGAGGATGGGCGATGGTGACATCAATGCATGCGGGATTGAACGAAGACAATGCAGCCCCAAAGGGAGGAAGACACAGGAGATGCGTGAACAATGAGGAACAAAGGCAAATCGAGGAGATGAGTGGCGAAAAGAGTTAGGACGTGGGGGGAGGTGGGGGGGGGCGGGAAAGGAAAAGAAATCTGAGGCGCCGCAAAATACAATCAAAGAGACGAGAGGTGGAGCAAGAGGGAGGTGGGCGGGTGTGGGGAGGGAGGGAAAGGGAGACAGCTTCTGAGGCGCCTCAAAAGGCATGGAAAGAGATGAGTGGCAGAGCGAGAGGGGGGTTGGGCGGGTGTGGGGAGGGAAGTGGACACATAAGACGATGAGTGGTGGATAGAGTTGGGAGGAGGGAAGGGAGAAAACAAATGAGGCGCCTCAAAAGGCATTCAAAGAGATGAGTGGCAGAGCGAGAGGGGGGTTGGGCGGGCGGGAGGAGGGAAGTGGAAACATAAGACGATGAGTGGTCGATGGAGTTGGGAGGAGGGAAGGGAGAAAACAAATGAGGCGCCTCAAAAGGCATTCAAAGAGATGAGTGGCAGAGCGAGAGGGGGGTTGGGCGGGTGTGGGGAGGGAAGTGGACGATGAGTGGTCGATAGAGTTGGGAGGAGGGAAGAGAGATAACAAATGAGGCGCCTCAAAAGGCATTCAAAGAGATGAGTGGCAGAGCGAGAGGGGAGTTGGGCGGGCGGGAGGAGGTGAGTGGAGATATAAGAGCGAGGAGAGGAAGGACACGGGGAGCAGGAAGACTCACGGTTGGGGGATTGAGGCCAGGGCACTCACGGTTCGCAATGGTCTGCGCAGCAGGCGAAGGGGAAGCAATGTTGTTGGGACGGCCGACCTTGATTCGCCTGATCCACATGGGTGTGGTGGGGAGGGGGAGAAAAAGGGGGACCAGGGAGGAAAACGCGGGGGGGGGGGGGGGGGGGGGGGGGGGTGGGGAGACAGGGCGGAAAAAGGGGGAAAAAGGGGGGGGGGGAAGAAGGGGGGAAAAGGGGAAAAGAAGGGAAAAAAAGAGGGGGGAAAAGGGAAAGAGTGGGGGTGGACATCAGGCAGGAAGGTGGATGGGGTGGGGAGGGAGGGACGGAGAGTGGACGAGGGGGGAAGCGGGGAGGAGCTAAGGGCAGGAGGGAGTGGGAAGACGGAAGAAGAGAGGCAGGAAAGTACGAGCAAGCTGAAGCTAAGCTGAAAGGATGAGAGGAGCCTTTTGAGAAAAACGAGAAGGAAAGAGAGATGGGGAGCTAAGAAAAAGCGGACACGATGAGAGGGGAGACACGAAGCTAGAAGACACAGATCAGTCAAGCAATAACAAGGGATCTGTGTCTTGTAGACACAGATCACGCAATAACAAGGGATAGGCATGCAGACTTCTCACGCAATAACAAGGGATAGGCATGCAGACTTCTCACGCAATAACAAGGGATAGGCATGCAGACTTCTCACGCAATAACAAGGGATAGGCATGCAGACTTCTAATGAACAGACATGCCTTTCTGTTTTGAAGCGAAACTCGCAGCTTCTATGGAGTTGAGCTTTGCCAGACATGTGTTCTCTCAAGAGAAAACGCAGTACCGAACACAAGGACATGTGTGCTCGAAAACGGTGATAGAAAAAAGGATGGGATTGCGGGCCACAAACCATCAGACGCAGCACCAGCAGAACCAACACGAGGACTCCCCTTTGCACGTTGTTGGAGCAGTTGAGAGTCAGGGTGTAAAAAGCGAAGGGTTTGGTTGCTCTGACGATTAAGATACTAGTGAAGTGGATATTCGAGCGAGTGCGGGCGGGTCGGAAAAGATTGCATGTGTGGTGCATGCTGCGCGGGGTGAGAAGGCGCTGTGCTTATAACGGGATGACTTGTTAGGTGGCGATTTCTTTAGATGCGTGTGACTATTGGGCGGTGGTGTTGTGGGATATAGGGCGTGAAACAGCAAGAAGAAACAATACGGGCATAGGGGCAAGCCGCAAAGATACGCACAAACGCAGGAAAGGCAGAAACAAGAAAAGAGAAAATAGAAAGAAAAAAGGACAGAAAGAGAGAAAGACAAACGCAGGGAAACGAAGCAGAGGAAAAAGAGGGAAGAAATACGCACGTACAGAGAGAAAGGCCAGAACACGGGAATTAGCCAAAAGGCTCGTGAGGCAGTTCAAAAGTGAGGTCAGCGCACACAAATTAGCCAAGAGGAGTAAACAGATCTAACGACTAAGCCAGCTATACAGCAGTACACTAGCGTCCGGTTGTGAAGAGCTGCTAATAGCGAAGATAAGCCTTTACATTTCAAGACTTTCATAGCGACTTTTGAGTCGACTCAAAAGTCACCTAATAGCAAAAATGAGCCCTTACATTTCAAGACTTCCAAGGCTCCCCGCGAGAGCAGTGACTGCATTTGAACCGGAGAGCCAGAGGTGACTTAAATACAGGACAGCAAGCGAGAAGCAGGAGTGGGTGGGTTTAAGTACGGGCCAGCGAGTGATAGGCAAGAAGAGTGTGGGCTAAGTACCGGCCAGCGAGGGTAAAGTCGTTCATAGCAGCGATAGCAGTAGAGGCAGTCTCAGGGTTGGTAAACTCGATGAAACAGAAGCCCTTGTGCTTGCCCGTGCTCGCGTCCTGAGGTGGGGAAACAAGAGGAGATGAGAGGAGAGGAGAAAAGAGAACACCAGGGCGAAAGAAGGAGGAAGGTGAGTGGTTGACTTCAAATGCGGTGGATGCAGTCTCGGGGTTGGTGGACTCGATGAAACAAAAGCCCTCGTGCTTGCCCGTGCTCGCGTCCTGAAGTCAGAAGAGGGAGGAGGGAGGGAAGGAACAGAGATGGAGACAAATGGTTAGGGTGAAGCAGAGGGAAAGAAACAGCCGGAAAGTAAATGTGCGCAGAATCACGCGGAAAGACGGAGAATGTCGGACAAGTAGCTGTGAATATGGGCACGTGTAAGCGGCTGTGCAAGGTGAAGTGTTGAAGGGTGGGATGGGATGGGATGGGATGGGAGGAGAAGCGAGCCAGCGCACGCACACGCATACGCATACGCACACGCACACGCACACGCACATGCACATGCACACGCCCCCGCCCCCGGCCCCGGCCCCGGCCCCCCCGTGCGCCCGCACCCGCGCGCCCGCCCTCCCGCCCGCCCGTCCGCACGCACACACGCACGCACGCACACCCACACACCTTAGGCATGTCGATCTTGGTGATGGGGCCTGATGGGTGGGCAAAACAAAAAGAGCGCACACATAACAACGACACATCAGCAACTTTAGATTTGCTTTGCTCGCGATGCTTTCACGTCCTCCCTATCCAATCCCACCCAAGCACATCAGGCTATCCAAAAAATAGAAGTCAACAAGGGCACTCGAGGCAATCAAGCCACCAAAGCGTGGCGGAGTCAACATAGGGGCCCTGGCATGCATGCGCCCCCCTTTTCAGGCACCTGCTACGCCGCGCTAGCCCACCAGTGGTTAGGCGCATGAGGAGCGTACCACGGGGGGAGAGTTGATTGGACTAAAACAAGGTGAGCGTACCGAAGGGCGAGAAGGCGAGGAGAATGTCTGCCTCGGTGAGGTCGTAGAAGATGCTCCCCACGTACACAATCCTTTCACATGCACCCCAGCTCATCCGAAAAACCCAAGCCAACCAGGCCACCCGAGACAACCCAGCATCCAAAGCGCATGAGGCGCAGGAGCGTACCGAAGGGCGAGAAGGCGAGGAGAATGTCGGCCTCTGTGAGGTCGTAGAAGATGCTCCCCACGTACACGCGGCACTGGGCTGTGGAGGGGTGGGTGGGAGGGATGGGGGAAGGGGGTAAGGGGGGACATGCACGAAAAGGGAGCGCAGATAATTAGACGGGCACACCTGGTGAGAATGTCGGACTCAGTGAGAAAATGCTCTACTCACCATTCGACTGGGTCGTTGTGGCCTGCTGCTGCTGCACCGCTGCTGCCTCCGCCATCTTCGCCTGAGCCAGTGCTCGCATCTGCACACGCACGGAGTCAACGGGACGAGGAAAAAAAAAAAGTCAACGCGAAGTCAAAGCACTCGAGTCGCGACGAAAGAAACGGAACGAACGAACTCGAACTCCAACGGAATGGTTGGCCTTCGCTCTTCGAGAACGCTTGAAGGTTGTGGTACTAAAAGCGCGAAATTCAACACGAGTGCACACTTCGAAAACGCTTCCGCTGCTAAACGCGAGCCAAACGCGAAATCACCTGCAGGAGCTGCTGTTGCTGCAGCAGCTGCGCCTGCTGCGCCATGGCCGCTCCGGGCATCATCATCGCCGCTGCAACACCGGAACGATCCGGGGCACGTTTAATCATTCTCACATGTGACTGGAATTCGAGAAAATCACCTGCAGAAGCTGCTGTTGCTGCAGCAGCTGCGCCTGCTGCGCCATGGCCGCTCCGGGCATCATCATCGCCGCAGCGGCGCCGGGGAGAATGCCCGCGCCCAATGGCAGGCCGGGAACACCGGGAATCGCGGGCAGAATGCCGGCTGCGCTGGGAGTGGCCGGTGACGCGAGGACAGCAGGCGACTCGACTACGGTTGGCAGAAAGGAAGGAACATAGGAGAAGGAAAGGGAGTGAGAGAGAAGGAGAAAGGATTTTATGCGGCGCCTCGAAGTCGCTGTGAGTGGCTGGTGATGCGAGGGCAACAGGAGACTTGACAGCGGTATGGAAAAGAGGAAAAAACCAGACAGGAGAGAGAACGAGAGAAAATCGTGGGGGGTGAGAAACAAAGAGGAAAGGAAACGTAAGCAGAATAATATAAACCTTGCAATGCTATCTAGGCGATCGATTGGGTAACAAGTGCCACGGATCTCAAACCTGGAAAATTCAAGGCAAAGCGAACAAAAAAAAAAAAAAAAAAAAGGGAAAGAAAAAAAGACGAGGAAAAAACTGAGAAAAAAGAATTATAATGGAAGCTTGAAGCACACAGCTGCGTGCAACCCGCAGCTGCGTGCACGCAACGCACTTTTCTTGCCGTCAGGGCCCTCTGTGTCCCAAAGGCTCTTGCGCTTCCGTCGCCGCTGTCCCGTGCCTTCCTCGCCCGCCGGCTTCTCATCCGCCTTCGCAGGCTCCGTCGCATCCTTCGCAGGAGCCGATTCATCTTTCGCAGGCGTCGTCGCAGGCTCGGCTTCGGCCTTCGGCTCCTCGCCGTCTGCTTTAGCGGGTTCGCCGTTATCGTTTGCCGGCTCGCCGTTCGTGCTCGCCGGTTCAGCGTCAGGATTCGCCGCCGCGTCGTCAGTAGCAGCCGCAGCGGCATCATCGCTTGGAGGAGCAGCAGCAGGAGGCGAAGATGCTTCGACGGCATCAGCAGCCTCACCCTCGCTCGCCTTAACTTCTTCGGACGTCATGTTGTCTAGAAAATAAAATTTGACACTAAAAGACGCGCAACGAAGAAAGAGCGACCGTAAACTTAACGCACTCGACCTAGAAGATAGTAGAAAATAAAGAGATAGGAGACCTAAAGCAGATCTGGTGAAAGGCACAGGGACATCGAAGGTTGACTTGGTTCCTCTCTTGAACCCACAAGCCCGCAGCCTGAAAATGGCTGCTTGGCAAGGGAGATCCGTGCTTGTGTGGTTAGCGCAATATTGTCACCCTTCGCTGTTTTCAAACTACTTGATATATGCACGACAAAATGCAGATATAAATATATAGACAAACTCTTTTCTCTGCACTGTTTCCGAAGTTTCTGGAAGCTGGTTTGCATCATTGGGAAGGATTTTGACAATGGAGGATTTTTCCGTACTTTGCTTTTATCCTCGAAAATTAACGGCTGAAAGCAGAAAACTCCTAAAATCACTCCCCACCGCGTGCTGTTTGGTACAAACTCCCACACATCAAACCCACATTCGCCCACCGCCTCCATCAGAATAGAATTTCATTTTTTTGGGTAGCTTCCCCTGAAAAGAAGCCCACAACCTAGATTCTACCACCAGGTTGACTACTTCGAGAATGTCACCATCCCCACAAATGTTTCGTAACAGTTCCCTTTCATGCGATTGAATAAGAGTGGTCGGTTACGTTCTCGAACGGTTTAGTTCGTTCTTTGCCGAAGTGGAACTGCCGTGACACCACGTCATTTTGTTACACGGTAACTCCACTGTCATCCAAATCATCTCTTCCCTTTCTATCCTCTCCTCCAGGGTTTTTTTGCATTGCTCTGCCAGGGTCCACAGAACAGCCACTCTCTAGATCTTGCTCTAAACTAGCACATCCAAGCTCTCAGTTATCAGCGGCCCAAGCGCTTCGTTCACGAGCCACGCGATTAGATTCTCACTAAGATGTCGGATCCTTCCGGTCTCCAGAATGGGGGAATTTCCCTTCGTCCCCAGGATGTCAAGAAATCTCGAGGTAGGTGTATTTTCCAGGCTTGCTTGCGATTAGGGTTTGGCGGATTCTGACCATTTCTTCGCTTCGCAGATGAATCTGGCGGAGGAAGTTTTGGAGGAACAGTTTCGAAAACGTCTCCGGACGGAAAAGGTACATGCAGTGACGTGCTCCGTCAATCCAGAAGCTCGTCATGTATCTGAGGTTTATCGCTATGTTATAATAACCCACGCGTTTCCCTGTCACGTGTATGATAATGCAGAGCATTCGTCACCTGGGGATTCTTCAATGGCATTTTCGCCTCAGTGGCTTACCGCGAAGCACTCGGACTCGCGTAGTCCTGTCGGTCAGGTCAGCGAGTGATTCCCTGCCAAACCAACGATGGGGTTTCGCTGTCGACCGAGCAAGCCGAGCTGATTTCCCGTATACCCAGGAGATTGCTACGAGTCTTGTCTTTCTAGATCTTTCTTGTTCACTAGCACTCCCAGCTCCCGCACTGGCTCTCTGTTCTCGCTAGATGTCGTTTGTTCTTCGTGATTGTTCATCTCGTTCCCCCCCACTTGACTTTGTTCTACCTGCATCTTGTCTCATTCTCCCTGCTTATTGTGCCATTCTTCCCGCGGGTTGTCTCACTCTCACCGCATTCTTGACTCATTCTCCCCTCATTACGTGGCCCTTTCAGGACCCTTCCAAGCCGATGGGATATGGCCGAGGCAGCGAGGCACCCGGCGGAAAGTGGAAGGTAGGCCGGGGAGCAGGCGCAGGCGCAGGCGCAGGCGTAGGCGGCATTTCCGCGGGAGGGGTAGCGGGCGCGCCGCCGGACGAGGCGAAGCGGGAGCGCGACTGGTGGCGCAGCGCGGGCATGGAGCGCGACAGGCCGAGCGACCGCTGGGGGGAGGACGAGCGCGAGCGCGAGAGCGTGGGGGGGAAGCCGCGCAACGATCCCCGTTGGGGGTCCATACACGCCCCGCCGCTAGGGGGGGAGAGCGGAAAGGAGGCGGGGGAGGGGGGCGGGTACGTTAAGAAGGAGCGCTGGGTGGATCCGCCGGGGATGGGCGGTCCCCGCGCTGGGCTTGGCGCGGGGGGAGAGGGGAGTGTGGATTACCGCAAGGAGCGGTGGGCGGATAGCGGTACGCGGAGTTTCGACCAGCGCCGCGAGACCAAGTGGGGTTCGCGCTGGGGCAGCGCGGAGGAGAAGGACAAAGAGAAGGACAAAAGCGTTGTTCACAGCGAGAGCTGGGGGGAGAAAAGCGGGCATGTCGGAGGCGGGTTGCGCGAGCGCGGAACGCCGGAGTCCGCGCAGGGCGGGGGGAGTGCGCGCTGGACACTGCCGGGGGAGAAGGAATCGGACAAACCTAGGGAATACGAGAGAAGCCGCCCCGCTATCGGCGCTCGAGACAGCGACAGGGGGAAAGAAGCTGACAAAGATGGCGGAGGGGCTGTCGGGGCTGGGGCGGGCGGCGCGGCGGGTCCCGGGGGCGGTAGCTCCGGGGGAGCAGGAAGCGGAAGCTGGACTAGAGACACTACCGCGGGGAGGTCAGAGACGGGGGGAAAGTGGCGCCCGCAGTCGATCGCGGGACGGGGGCGCGGAGAGGCTCCGCCAACGGGCACCGCTACATCCTCCGCCGCCCCCTTTTCCAAGTTCCAGCCAGGGTTTGGGTTCGCGGGTCGCGGGCGCGGAACCCCCGACGGCGCAGGTGCAGGCGGAGGCTCTTCCGCGCTTGTTGCTGGCGGAGGGGGCGGAGGCTTTGCGCGGGGACGCGGATTTGGCGGGGGCGCAGGGGGGAGCTGGGATGTCCCGGGGCAGGGCTCCAGGGCGCAGCATATCGGCGCTCCTCCGCTAGAGTCTGGCGGAGCGGGCGCTCCGCCATCCGCGGAGACGTTCAGGTACCCGCGCGCGCGGCTGCTGGAGATCTACCAGGCGCACAAGCGCGCGCCGGAGTTCAGCGCGGCGATCCCGGGGGAGTGGTCTGAGGCGCCCGCGCTTCTGGGGTCAGAGCCGCTGGTGCCCATGGCGCTGGTGGAAGCGAGCGCGGAGGAAGAGGTGAGCGGAAGGGGGGCGTGCGGGGGTAGGTGCGCCTGGGGTAAGGCGAGCGCGGAGGAAGAGGTGAGCGGAGGGGGGGCGTGCGGGGTAGGTGCGCCTGGGGTAAGGCGAGCGCGGCGAGCGCGGAGGAAGAGGTGAGCGGACGCCGTAGGCTGGTAGGTTTTGTGTGGAGGTAGCTGCCGTTTGGGTGCGGCGCTTGCGCTTCTGGGGTCGGAGTCGCTGGTGCCCATGGCGCTGGTGGAAGCGAGCGCGGAGGAAGAGGTGAGCGGATGCGGCAGACTGGTATGGTAGGTTACATGTGGAGGTAAACACTGTATGGGTGGGACGAGCGCGGAGACGCCGTAGGCTGGTAGGTTTTGTGTGGAGGTAGATGCCGTTTGTTGGGTGAAGCGCCCGCGCTTCTGGGGTCAGAGCCGCTGGTGCCCATGGCGCTGGTGGAAGCGAGCGCGGAGGAAGAGGTGAGCAGAGAGGGGACCGTGCGGAGTTGCCAGCTGTGCCAACTGTGCCATCTGTTATCATTTGCCAGTTGCCTGTTGCTGTTTAGCTGTTACCGACTGTGTCACCAACTGGCCTATTTTGTTTGGTTGTTATGATATATATGTTACTGTTTGAATGTGCCTGTCCGTGCGTGCAGGCGGTGATGGCGGCGATTGAGAGCGGGGAGATTGTGAACAGTGGCTTGGTGCATACGTCCAGGGACAAGGACGCTCAATTGTTCACCTGTGATTACCTGACTGATACCATCTGAATGTTGCCGTGTGCCTGTGCCTCTGTCCGTGCGTGCAGGCTGTAATGGCGGCGATTGAGAGCGGGGAGATCGTGAACAGTGGCTTGGTGCATACGTCCAGGGACAAGGACGCCTCAACGCGAGACAAGGAGCGGGACAGGGAGGGGCGGGACGCCAATAATCAAGCTGGTACGTAGTACAGGCGATCGAGAGTGGGGAGATCGTGGGTAGTGGCGTGGTGCATGCCTTGAGGGACAAGGACGCTATATTGCAAGATTTTGAGCGGGACAGGGCGGATGGGACATCAGGAGCTGGGGCATGTGCGGTTGACTGGTTCCCTCGTTTCTTAGTCCCGTGCTGCCTATGTAACATGTAATGACTTACTTTTTCAAACCTTTCTATACGCTCTTTTCCTCCGGCTGATTCCTTTCAAACTCGCTTCCCGTGATGCCCAAGCAGCACAAGAGGCCGACAAGCGCACTCCCGCGCACGCCTCAGGCACAGCAGCAACCACCCACCCAACCGACCACCCCACCCAACCCTCACCAGCTTCACCTCCCCCAGGCTCCACCTCCCTCTCTCCCTCCCAAGCCAAACCCGCCGCCCCCTCCATCCCACCTGAAAAGCTCCTGCTACAGTACCGCGACCCTCAGGGGGAAGTTCAGGGGCCGTTCCCAGGAGAGGACATCATGGGGTGGTATGAGGCGGGGTTTTTTGGACTGGAGTTGCCAGTCAGGCCGGTAGATCCGGCGACAGGGGAGGCGGCACCTGGAGTGCAGTTTTTGCCGCTGGGAGATGTTATGCCGCATCTGAAACCCTCTGCTAAGGTCCCGCCTGGCTTTGCCGCTGCTGCTGCTGGTGGTGGCGCTGCTGCTGCTGCTGGCGCTGCTAGTGGTGGTGGTGCTGCTGCTACTGCGGCTGCTGGTTCTGCTGCAGGGGCTGCTGGTTCTGCTGCAGGTGCTGCAGCAGCAGGTGACGCCACTCGCGTTTCCGAGAAAGAAACCCCTGGGTTGTCAAGCGCTGCTGCTGCTGCTGCTGCTGCCGCTCCTGCCTCTGCTCCTACCGAGCCTGGTGTTACTGTGCCTGGTGCTGCTACTGGTGCTGCTGCTGCTGGCAGTGGTGCAATGGCGGGTGCTGCAGGGGTCATTTTGGGGGCTATTCACGCTGGCAGAGGTGAGCGTATAGTTTTCTCAACCAATCTACCTTTACTCCTCCATTGCTTACTTCTCCCCGTCCCTCCTCGCAACCCCCATAATCTCACTCCCCCCCCACCTTCCCCCCTCCCGCCCTCCCCCCCCCCTTCATTACCTGTTTCTTGTACACTTTCTATTCTTTCCCCGCTTGGCGCCTGTAACCTTGTCATGCTCGTAACCCTGTAACATGCTGCACCTACGTTCCCCCCAATAGCATTGCAGCACCTTGCACAGTGGGTCGTGTAACATCACCATCACTGCTGTAGGCGCCACTAAATACTTTTTTTTGCAGAGCAATAGACTCATCAACTCTTTAAGCACTCATGAAGACCTATTTTAGCACACTCAAAGAGTCAAGCACCTTATCCTCCTCCGTCCCATACCACTGTTTCTTTTCCAGGCGTGGACGAGCCAGGCGCCCTTTACCAAGCCTCCTGGCCAGCTCCGGGCGCCGAGGAGCTTCGGGCCGAGCCGGGGGTGCATGGGGCGGGAGCGGGTGTGGCTGGTGCAGTGGGCGCTGGAGCGGCATCAAGGTCGTTTTCCAGTCTTGATGCGCTGGCTCAGGTGAGTTCTTACTCTGAAGCTTTCATATCCCCTTGCATTGTAATGAAACTGGAGGACCAATGGGCGCTGGAGCGGCATCAAGGTCGTTCTCCAGTCTTGATGCGCTGGCTCAGGTGAGTTCTTACTCTGGAAGCTTTCATATCCCCTTGCATTGTAATCAAACTGGAGGAGCAGTGGGCGCTGGAGCGGCATCAAGGTCGTTTTCCAGTCTTGATGCGCTGGCTCAGGTGAGTTCTTACTCTGAAGCTTTCATATCCCCTTGCATTGTAATGAAACTGGAGGAGCAGTGGGCGCTGGAGCGGCATCAAGGCCATATTCAAGTCTCGATGCGCTGGCTCAGGTGTGTTTTGAAGCCAGGGTTTTGGGTTTCTAGCCAGTGTTCGCTTTGGTCTTCGCCTCTCACCTTCCTTTTACCTTCCTCCCCTGTGTTCTGTGTCTTTCATTTTCTGCCCGCTGCTTGCGTTCTTGCCACTCAGGGTCATCGCTCCCCCTCACCCTCTCCTGCTCTCTTCGGCCAATCGCACCCACCACCACAGCAGCAGCAGCAGCAGCAACAGCAACAGCAACAGCAGCAGCAGCAGCAGCCAGCGCACCTACCACTCACCCACGAGCCGCTGCCCTCCCTCCTCTCCCACCTCCTCTCCCATCCGCAGCAACCCCAGCTGCAGCAGCTTCAGCAACAGCAGCAGCAGCAGTTGCCGCTGGGTCAGCAGCCACAGCAGCCGCCACAGCAGCCGCAGCAGCCGCCGCAGCAGCTGCCATCAACCCTCCTGCCAACCCTCCCTCCCCCGCGCATCACTCTAGCACATCTCCACCACCCCCTGCACCCGCTGCTGCACCCTGCTGCCGCTGCTACTGGACTAGGCCCAGCCACGCTTTACCCAGGAGCCGGGGGTCCGATTATAGGGCAGGACGAGTTGAGTCTACGAATGGTAGAAGCGCTGGTGCATGCGGGTATTCCCAAGGACGCTCCGTTAGAGCAGCTGCTGCAGCACCCGCCTATAACGGATCTGCTTATGCGCGTACAGCAGGAGGTGGTCCAGCAGAGGGAGCAGCGGGAGGCGCAGCTGAGGGAGGCGCAACTGAGGGAGGCGCAGATGCGAGAAGCGCAGTTGAGGGAGGTGCAACTGAGGGAGGTTCAGATGCGGCTGCAGCAGTCTCTGGCTCTGGATACAGGTGCTTCCGGGGGGGGTTTACCTGGGGGAGGGTTGCCTGGGGGAGTGGGAGTGGCAGGTGCGGGTGGGTTACCTCACGTGTTGGCGAAAGAGGGCGGGTTACCAGAGGTTGTAACGGAGGAAATGGCGTTACAGATGCACCTGTCGTCTCTGCTTATGGCAGGAAGGCCAGTGGACGCGCAGGGAACGCAGCAGATACAGCAGCAGTTGCAGCAGGCGCGGTTCTTGCAGGGGCCCATTCCCGGGTCTGTCCCGCCCCCGTGGCTGCAGCAGCACCCTTCGCTGCCGCCCCCCCCTTTTGGCCAAGCGCTCTTGCCGCCGTTCCCAGGTGCCCCAATTCCTCCCCAGCAGCCGGGGCAGCCGGGGCAGCAGGGGCAGCAGCAGGAGCAGCCGCAGCAGCAGCAGGGGCCGCAGGGGCAGCAGCCTCTGCAGCAGCAGTTGCCACAAATTCCCCTTGGAATGCTGCCTGGTCACTTTCCTCACCCTCTTCCTCTGTTAGCTCAGGAGCAGCTTCAGCAGCAGTTGCTGCAGCAGCAGCTGTTGCAGATGCAGGGAGGGCAGACGCAGGGGGATGGGCAGGCTTCGGCTCGAGCTGACGTGCTGCAGATGCAGCAGCAGCTGCTGCTACAGCAGCAGCAAGGGATGGGGCAGCAGCAACCCCAGCAGGAGCAACAGCAGGGGCAGCAGCAGGGGCAGCCGCAGGGGCAGCAGCAGCAGGGGCAGCAGCAGCAGCAGGGGCAGCAGCAGGGACAGCCAGCAGCAGCGCCACAGCGGCTGTCGTACTCCCAGCTTCTGCGGCAGGACAATCAGGCAGAGGGCGGTGCCTATGCTGCTGTGCAGTCCACCCAGGCTGTAATTCAAACCTCCCAGGCCGTAGCTCAGGTAGGGGAAGGGTCTGGGGGGACAGAGCAACAGGAGCAGCAGCAGCAGCAGCAGCAGCAGCAGCAGCAGCAGCAGCAGCAGCAGCAGCAGCAGCAGCAGCAGCAAAAGAGGAAGGGGAAGGGGAGGGACAGGCGCCGACGGGATTGGCAGATCAGGGCGAGGGGGCAGGGAAGGGAGATGAGGTGGCGGCTGCTGGGGATGCAGATCCGGAGGAAGGGCAGGGAGAGGCGTTGGAAGCTGGTGCTAAAGGGAAGAAGGAGGAGGCTGTTAACGAGGATAAGACAGGTGCGGATGACATGGATGAGGGCTCTCAAACGCTTTCGAAAAAGGAGCTAAAGAAGCTGAAGAAGAAGAAGCAGAAGGAGGAGCAGATGCAGCTGCTGCAGGAACGGAAGGAGAAGGAGAAGGAAAAGGAGAGGGAGAAGGAGAGGGAGAAAGAGAAGGAGAAGGAGAGGGAGAAGGAGAAGAAGGAGAAGGAGAAAGAGAAGCAGAAGCAGCAGCAGAAGCAGAAACAGCAGCAGCAGGTTTCCACCGCAGAGCCAAGCACCAAGCCCCTCTCTTACAGCGAAAAGGCAGCAGCAGCAGCAGGAGCAGGAGAAGCATTACCATCAGCAGCTGCTGCATCTCCCGCACCCGCTGCTACCTCCCCAGCTGCCACCGCCGATGCCCTTCCCAAGCCATCCACCCCGCCGGTCCCAGCCTGGAAAGCCCCTACTGTCCCGGCCAAGTCCCTTGCACAGATTCTAGAGGAAGAGGCAGCAGAAGCAGAGAGGCAGAGGGAGGAGCAAGAGCAGCGACTCCAGGCAGCCATTGCCGCAGGAGAGGTGATTGGGGGGCCTGGTGGGTTTGGCAGCAGCAGTGGGGGTGTAGGAGGGGGAGGAGGAGCCACTGTTTGGGGCAACGCTGGGTCTGCCTCTGTTATGTCTCGGAAGAAATCCCTTAAGGAAATTTTGGAAGAGGAAGCAGCTGCGGCTGCAGCAGCGGCAGCGGCGGCGGCTGCGGATACTGCGGCGGGTAGAAGTGTGGTTACCGCCAGTGCAGTTCTTTTCCCCCAGCCGCCTTCTTTGGAGCCTAGAACTGGGGCTAGTTTGTTTGATCCCCTCAGCGGCAGGGGGTATTCTAGTCCGGGTGGTGCAGGGGTGGCTGCAGGCGGAGTTGGGAGCGGTTCAGGGCGGTTGGCTGGAGCAGGAGCAGCCTCAGGTGTTTCAGGTGTTCTGACAGGTAGTTTCAGGGATCCTCTGGCAGAGGAGATTCTGGGATCTGCTTCGTCTATGCTGGATGATGCAAGGGTAGAGCTGACAAAGAGCGAATCTGGCTCGTCTGCTGCTGCTGCGGCGGCGGCGGCAGCAGCGGCGGCGGCGGCAGCGGCAACGGCTGCAGCCGAAGTGGATGATTCAGAGTTTGTGGAGCCCAAGGAAGCGAGGAAGAGCAAGAAGAAGGGCGCCAAGGGGAAGGGTGGTAAGTCGCCTCCCTCAACCTCCGCTGCTGCCTCAGCTGCCGCGAGTGAAGCTGCTGCTGCAGCTGCCGCCGCCCTCCCTGCTGCTTCTCTCCCTGTCGCCACCACCAGGTCTGCTTCTGCTGGTGCCGCAGCTTCCCTTGCCTCTGCTGCAGCGGCAGCAGCAGCGGATGAGATTCCCGCTCCCCCTGCTCCGTCTCTGGCCGATTTCCTCATGGTCCCCGGGCTGATTCCCGGAGTTAGTCCCTCTGCTGCCCCCGCTCCTGCCCCCGGCCCGGCCTGGTCGTCTGGTTCGGCGGGACGTGCGGCAGCAGCAGCGGGAGGGTCGGGAGGAGGGAGAGGGGGCAGGGGGGCGGTTCTGTCTCTGGCAGAGATTCAAGCTGCAGAGGAGAGGGCGAGGCAGGAGGAGAGGGCGAGAGAGGAGGAGAGGGTGAGGCAGGCACAGATTAGGGTTTTGCAGGAGCGAGTGGGGCCGGGTGCGTCCGCTGCTGTGCCATCTGCTGCCGCTGCGGTTGTTGGGATGGGGGGAGTGGGTGGGGCAGGAGGAGTGGGAGGGAAGGTGAAGGGAGGTGCGGCGGGGAGTGGGAGTGAGAAGGGAGGGGGGAAGAAGCAGCAGGAGAGGAAGGAGGCAGCGGTTGTGGTGGAGGAGGATGAGGATATGTTCTGGGACTACTCGTACCAGTCTAACACCAGGTTTGTGCTGTTGTTGGTTGATTACATGTGTGCATGTGTGTGTGCAGCCCATTGCAGACACATCCTGGAGCAGCAGCTCTTGTCTGTTTGTTTGTTTGTTTGTTTGTTTGTTTGTTTTTTTCCATGTGCCCACTTCTAGTTGACCCTCTCTTTTGCTATTGCTTGTTCTCTGTGGACTGCAGTAAGGAGGTACCAGCAGCAGCAGCAGCAGCAGCAGCAGCAGTGGAGACCAAGTCCAAGGGGTCCAAGAAGAAGGGTGCCAAGTCAACCCAGTCAGGTCAGTCTTGATGGGTGCTGTGCGGTGCTTTGGGGTGCTGTGCTGTTCTGTGCTGTGCTCTGGGATTAACTTACTCTCTTCCCTGCTCTGTAACGTCCGTCCTGTGGTTGACGTGCCGCCTTTCCCTGCCCTGCTGACCTTTTTGTCCCCTTCTCCCTGCCCCTTGCCTTTGAACAGCAGCAGGCGCAGCGGCGTCGGCTCAAGTGCCCCCTGCAGAGCTCCGGGCAGCTCAGGAATTCCGGCAATGGTGCGAGGCCAACATCCTCAAGCTCACGGGCAGCCCTGGTAAGATTTTGAATCTTGAGGTGCTTTAATGCCCAACATAGCTTATAGGCAACCCGGTAATGTGTGTGTCAGGTCTAACTGTACTGTCTATTTGTACATGCAATAGTTGCAATTAAATATCTGTTTTCCTTGCCACCCATCTCCCCCCTTCCCCGCCTCCCCCCCCCCCCCCGTTCCAGACCTCACGCTCATAGACTTCTGCATGTCGCTCCCCAAGGCAGCGGACGACCAGGTGCGCCAGTACCTCTTCCAGTACCTCGGCTCTGCTCCCCCCGTTCATACCCCCTTCCCCACTCCCCTGTCTCCCCTCCCCTCCGTTCTCTCCCTTGCCCCCTCCCACGCAGACCTCACTCTTATTGACTTCTGCATGTCGCTTCCCAAGGCAGCGGACGACCAGGTGCGGTAGTACCTCTTCCAGTACCTTGGCTCTCACTTCCACGTCTGCTCCCTTTCTTTCCTCTCTCTACCCTTCCTTCTCCTCCCTTACCTTCCCCTGCCATGCAGACCTCACGCTCATAGACTTCTGCATGTCACTCCCCAAGGCAGCAGACGACCAGGTGCGCCAGTACCTCTTCCAGTACCTCGGCTCTGCTCCCCCCGCCTCCGCCTTCACCTCCTCCTTCCTCTCGCGCCGCGCCGCGCTCTCCCCGTCTGCTGTGCGCGTGGCATTCCCTTTGAGCGAGGCGGTTATTCAGGATGACTCGTCGCTGCTCAGTGGTAGTGGCGGTGGCGGTGGCGGTGGTGCTGGTACTGGTGCTGGTGGTTCTGGTGGTGGTGTCGGTGGTGGTGGGAAAAAGGGTGCGGCAGGGCAAGGTTCGGCGTCCTCTCGTGCCGGTGCCGGACCTGCGGGTTCGGCTCGAAATGAGGCGCAGAAGGTGACTGCAAGTGGGTCCGGGTCTGGGAAGGCTGGGAGTGGTGGAGGTAGTGGTGGTGCTGGTGCTGGTGCTGGTGGGGGTGCTTCTGGGGGTGGTGAAGGAGGGGCGGAGGGGGCGGGAGGGAAGAAGAAGGGGAAGAAGGGAAAGAAGGTGGTCGATCCATCGCTGCTGGGGTTCAGTGTTACCAGTAACCGCATCCTCATGGGTGAGATTCAGCATGTGGAGGATTAGATGTCATGCAGCGTGGATGCACCATGTGGAGGACAGGTAGATGTCATTTAGCATGCATCACTAACACGTAAAGCAGCACGTGCCATTCAGCATGTGGACGTAAGTGGGGGGTGATGGATGGGGGTGGGGTGAGTAAAGGGAAGCTTACGTCTGGGGTTCTTACAGATGAGAAGTGCTGCATCAATGCAGCATGGATAGGCAGTCAAAGCAGTCTGTTAGCAAGTGTAGGTTTGACTTCTTAACGCTTTAGGTGGCTTGAAGTGCACATGGGAGTTTTGACTGTTGAAGTATCCAATTTTGACAGCATAGTTATGAATTTAATGAATGCATTCTTTTGTAATAAAACCGTTTTAGAGCACACACTATAAACAACCAATCCAGAAGTGGCCTAGTCAGTAGAAAGAGGCACTTCCGATAGATGAGGTCCTGGGGTCGAACCCACCCCCGTGCAGGCGTGTTCTGCCAGCCCCAAGTAGGGGTTATCGTGCTCCTCATCTAGGAATGGACTGGTTACGACCAGAAAAACAACTTTCAACACACTATAAACAACCAATCATGAGCTCGTAAACAACCAATCATGAGCTCGTTAGCAGGTGGGACGAGACAGTCCGACCAATCCGTGACCTCGTATCTCATCCGCCACGCTGGATGGGTCTCCAAATGACGTGGTGCAGCATCCCTCCACCCTCGCCTTGGGAATGTCGCGGCCCGCGACTCGCGGGCCGCGGTCCATCCATGATCGATTCCTCCCTCCTAGTACTGTACACTGAAATCCTGCCTGCATTTGCACACACAGCACTTCCCCCTCACTTCCCCCTCACAGTCTCGCCTCGCATGAGATGAGGCTGTCAGGGCCTGACTGACTGTCACCTTTCAATGTTCGCTTTTCAGGCAATCTTCTAACATTGGAGAGTCACCTTTATCCCGCATTTCAGCTGGCACTCGCTGCAGTAAAAGTAAGCAAGTCGCCTTGAGGTGGCTCGTATGACTGGGTGTGTTCAACACCCAGTAAAAGTAAGCAAGCCCTTAAGTTTAAGGGCTTCTGGCGATAGTGGCTTATTTATCCTGAGAGCGCTGCGGGTCGTCGCTGCGCTAGCCGTAGCTAATACATCCTGCGTGAGTGGAGCTTAAACTCCCCCTCTACTCGAGTCGTAGTCGTGCGTGTGACACTCAATTAAAAGCATTCATTCGCGACCACGAGTTATTTGCCTCGATGGCATTCGTGAGCATCATCCCCGTTACAAGCCCTTCTACCACTGTCGTCTCGTCTCCGTCCGTTAAAGCCTTCTTAGCCAACTCGGCCTCCTCCTCGTTGCCATCGCACGGCGGTCACCGTCGCGCGACATTCCCAATGGTCACGACAGTATCAAGGCGTCAACGTGCTGTAGCTCCCCGCGCGTCCAGCTCGGATGACGCGGAGCGAAGCGACTCGAGTGGCGGCGCTGGCGACACTCACGCGCATCGTGCCGAGGCGCCGTCCAACGCGCAGCGTGCGGGAGTGTGGCTGACTGCGGCTGCTGCAGCGGCGGCGGTTGTTGCGGCACCTTTTGCGGTCGCGCCTTGCGCTCTCGCCGACTTCAAGGTGCGAGCGGCAACTAGCTCATTACCTTCCAATCCCCTGATTCAACTCGTACTGTCTCCCTCCCTCCATCGTAACATGCACTGACGTTCCTATCCCCCCCTAGTTCTTCCTGTTTTATGTGCTCCTGCTTACTCCCTCCCCTGAACATTTCTCCCTCCTCAACACTTCCCCCTCCTTTTCCCTTCGGGATCCACCTCCCTCCGCCCCTCCCCTTCCCCCTCCGTTTCCCTCTCCGTTCTCCCCGCATCCTCTCCTTACCCCTTTCCGCCAGACATACAACCACGCTTATCTACGCGGCGCGGACATGTCCAATCAGGACCTTTACCGATCCATTTTTGCCGGTGAGTGGAGAAAAAGGTCGAGGGGTAAGGGGAGGAGGAGCGCGAGGGGAAGGGGAAAGAGGAAGTGGGCTAGGAGACTAGTACGAGAGTGAGGGGGAGAGAGGGGTGAGATGGTGGGAGCTGGGAGAAAAGGAAGGAGGGGGAAGTGGGGAAAGAAACAGGTTTATAAGTTGGAGGGACTCTGATGTTTCTCAGCTCTTTTCTGAACCTGTACACCCCCATTTCCCCGTTCCCCCTGCCCCACTCCTCCAATGCCCCCTTTTCCCCCAAACGTCAACTTTCCATTGCCGTGTCCCACATTTTCCAATGCGTCCAATCTCCCTATCCCTTCACTCCCCCGTTTCTCCACTCCCCCACCCCCCGTTGTCCTCGTTCCCGCCATTCCGCCAACCTAGCATGCGACTGCCGGCTGATCAACCTAAGCGGGTCGAACCTAGCTGGCAGCACCGACACCTTTGCAGGCTTTGAGCTCGCCAACCTCGAGAACACCAACTGGTGAGCGAGTGGCAGGAGGATGTTTGCTCTTTCTGCGTGCTCCTTGAGCAAGCACTGACGAGTGTGAGGTAGAAGCATCGACACCTTTGCGGGATTTGAGCTTGCCAACCTCGAGAACACCAACTGGTGAGTGCCTGAATTCTCTTCCTTCCGGATCCAGCTGCTGCTCTTTCAGGACCCTTTCTTTTTCTCTCTGGCTCACTTCCCTTCCACCTTCCCTTCCCACCTTCCTGCCCCATATCCTCTCCCGATCTACCCTCCCACCTCCCTGCTCTGTCTTCCCTCTCCACCTTGGCAGGGAGCGTGCTCTTGCTGACCGCGTTGTTTTCAAAGGGGCCAACCTTCGCAACGGTACTCCATTCCTGCACATTTTTGTTTTCTTTGCTTGCTCGCCACTCTCACTATGCAAAACAAATCTTCCTCTTCACCGCCCCAAAGTCTTAGTCGCCTCAACAGCTGAGGGAGGCTTCCCCTTCCCCCCACCCCTGTGCTTTTGCAATGCTATCTTGCTCCATCCACTACCACTGCTGCTTCTTTGTCCAACACATTACATTCTTCCTCCTCTTCGTCTTCCCATTACCCTTTGTGCAGCAAACTTCACCAACGCCATCCTCTCTGGATCGCAATTTGAAGGTGAGTTCCTGCTTTGCTTCTCCCGTTCTCTTTTCCCTAGTCTTTGCCGTTCACGTAGGTCTGCCTTCTGCCCGTCATACCATCTTTGCCTTTCGCCGTTTGTTTTACTTTCACTACATCGTCCTCATACTTCTTTTACTACATCTGGTCCAGGTAACTCACAGCCACTTCTACTCATTGAGGCACCTCAGAGAATGACAACTGAAGTTTGTCAGGCATGTAATTCTTTTGATATTTCCTGTATCCGGTTGTGACTGGAGCAGACTATACAAAAGCATGTTGGGCAATGCTTAGAAATGGGCTGATGTGTCACCTCCCTTCCCTTGTTCCCCCCGACCACCTCCCGCTGCTTGCATGCTCATCTCCTGCAGGCGCTGATGTGACTGGAGCAGACTTCACAGATGCCATAGTAGACAATGCTCAAAGACGGCTGATGTGTCGCAGGCCAAGGGAGTGAACCCAGTGACTGGGGTAGAAACCAGGGAGAGCCTTGGCTGCTGAACAGTGGTTTATGAATCGACTCTAATCAAATGTGCCGCAAGGCCAAGGGAGTGAACCCAGTGACGGGGGTAGAAACCAGGGAGAGCCTTGGCTGCTGAAGAGTGATGCTCCAATCGACTCATAACAACTGCGCCCGAGGGGTTGAACCCATTGAAAGGGGCAGACACCTGGGAGATTCTCAGCTGCTGAACAAACTCTTTGAGTTGACTCTAAGGTTGTGATCAGGCAAGCTTTCTCATCGGCAAAAATTCGACTTTCGATGTGTCGCAAGGCCAGGGAGGTGAGGCCAGTGACTGGGGTAGAGAGAGACCAGGAAGAAAACTGGCTACTGGATGGCGTGACAAAGTTGGGTTGGGTTTGGCTTCGTATGAGACGTCCCAAGAGTCCAGTGACTGGGGTAGAGAGAGGCCAGGAAGAACATTGGCTGCTGAATGGCGTGACAGACTCAGGTTTGGCTTCTTTGTTCTGGCGTCTTATACGCTGGCTGATTTGTTTTGCCGTTCAGACAGTTTCTTTGCTGCAGTTTCACCTCACAGGTACGTAACAGCGTTCACAGTAGTCGACCATGCAGGCGTCATCATAAGTACATTATGCAGTACATCATTATCTGGTACCCTTTTATATGCGGGCACCTGAGGACATCACATATACCGTACTCCAAGTCATCAAAGCACATAATAGACTATGACGTGGAAGGACATGCCTATATGGCACGTTGAGTTGCCTCAGAGATTTCAGAGCACACAAAACCACAGCACAGTTGCATCTTTCAAGTCAGGCTTGTACCGGACGTGCCACACATGCCAGTCACGCCGAACGTGCTGGTGCTGGACGTGGATGTACTGGCCGCGCCGGACCTATTGGGCGTGCCGGACCTACTGGGCGTGCCGAACCTGCTGCCGCTCATGCCGAACGTGCTGGTCATGCTGCTGCGCCCTGCTGCACCTGCAGCACTCAGCCGCGGTCTCTTGAAACAGCTGGTAATCTCGTACCCGTTGCTGTTCCGGCTTCTGGAAACAGGGTCGCTTGAGGTTGCTGTTACTGCAACACCCGTAGGCTTGAACCGTCCCGTAACAGGGTCACGCGCGCATGCGGCTGGGACAGTTTTCCGGCGAGTCAAAACAGGGTCGCTTCTGGCTGCAACTGCGACGTTACGATCCTTGAATTGTCCCAAACCTGAGCCACTCGCTGCTGTTGCTGCAACACCAATAGTGTTTCGACGTGTCAAAACAGGGTCGCTTGCGGCTGTGACTGCGACACCAGGAGTCTTGTAACGTTTCAAATCAGGGCCAGATATTCCTGCAGCTGCGATTGTTAAGCCTCTGTTGCCGTGTGAAGGACTGAGTGGCAGCATGGTCGCACAAGCCCAGGACGAAAGGCAGGAGCCAGATTCACTACTGGCAGCAGCACCTCTGGCTGCTGCTGCTTCTGCTGCTGCTGCTGCTGGAGCAGCAGTGGGACCAGAACGGACTGCAGCAGTAGCATGAGTAGTAGTAGCTAAAGCAGCAGCAGCACGGCTCTTGCAAATGTGGCTGGGAGAAGGCGAAGGCCCTTGAAGCTGTCAACCAGCCAGTCTCCTGTGGGCGTGTATGATGACCTGTCACATGATGACTTGTCACATGATGCCTTGTCATGTGATATTCCGTCACTTGACGACTGCTCCACGATCTTCAGAGGCATTACACTGAGCCTTGTCTTGAGTTGTCTCAACAGGGTGCTGACACTGATGGGGTAGAGGCAGGCTCCAAGTGCTTGGGCATGTTCCCTTGCGTCACAGACACAGGGGGGTTCATAGCCTTGGCGGAACCTTGCTTCTCTTCACATAACAGCTCGGTAGAAGCATTGGGTTCCAAGCGGTTGAAAGCGTTCCTTTGTACCAAGGACACGGGTGGCTGCATCAGCTTCCCAAAAGCTCCCGCTGCTGGCAACCTTGAAAGCGGTCTTGGCTCCTTCCCAGTAGCCGGTTTGAAAACCTTGGGATGTGTTGGTGTGTCTGGTGTCGATTCGAAGCAGATATCAGAAACCCATGCTTGCACTGGGTCTGAAGAGCCGGCGGTAGCAGCAGGTTGGGTACCCATGCATGCTTTGGCCCCCATTGCCGGAGAAAAGAGGGAATCAGACCAAGTCGCAAGCGCGCCAGACGTAGAACTTGAAATGGCAGCAACAGATATCGGTAAACACTTGGGCTGCACTGCAGCTGCAGCAGCAGCAGGGTCGGAATCAGATGGATCCCTCATAACGGAATCAGCCAATTCCGAAGTCTTGCAATGTGCTGCTGCAGCAGGGAAGGCTTCAGACCAGGATGCGATATCTGCTGAATCTAAATGCTTGGGCTGAACTGTTTCTTCAGCTGGGAACGAATCCGACCAGGATGCAAGCGCGTCAGACGTGCAACCCAAGATGGCAGCAGTAGAGAAGTCAAAATCCTTAGAAAATGTTGGCATCGCAGCTGCATGAAACGATTGGGGCCAAGACATACACTCCATCAGACCCCCCGCCTCTACAATGGTGCTGCCGAGGGAAGAGGTAGGATTTGTCAGCAATGGCGGTGATTTCTCAGGCGCCTCACATGCCGGAGTTGCCTTCTCGACGATGGTGCCGCGGGGGGGAGAGGTAGAGTTAAGGAGCGACGGCGGCGGTGGCTGTGCCTGCGGCTGCGGCTGTGGCTGCGGCTGGGGCTTCTGGGCCTGCTGCTGGTCGCTTGGATCTTCGTCGATATGCTGCTGCTCACGCAGAGGTGCCCCGTGCTGCTCATGCCGATGTGGCTCATGGGAATGTCCCTGGAGAGAATGCTGCTCCTGCTGTTGCGCGGATTGGTGTTGCAGCTGGTGCTGCTGCTCGTGCTGGCTGTGCTCGGGCGCTGAAACAGACCGAAGGTAGCTGTCCAGGTTGTCTTCCCACGTGGGTGTCAGGGGCCTTGGTAGGTCCGCCATTGCGTGATAATGGAATGCAGTGGCAAAGCGCAATGAAGTGGACTAGAGAATTGTAGAAGAGAGACTTTGGCAGTAAGAGGGCCGTCCGTAGACTTTCTAGAAAGAGCTTAGAAAGAGCCAGTTGAGAAGTCCCCGTGGGAGATTATAGTCCGATTTGGATCAGGGAATTGAGGTTTTGAAAGGGTCGGGACAGCTAGCTTGAACTTGAGGAAGTGACTGTCGAGTCGACCCAGAAGTCACTGCGATTCAAACTCAAACTCAGGTAGACTTGAGATCCCGGAAGGATTGAGACAGCTGGTTAACGAACTCAAAGAGAAACAAATGTTTCATTGCCAACCTGGAGCAGCTTCTTAATGCCACTAAGGTTGATAGCAGCGGCCCTGCGTATCCGATTCAGTGTCCCCCGAATCGTTGTGGTGCAGCGGCGCAGCAAAAAAACGAAAAAGCATACGAAACAGCACTTCGTGCTGCTAATGTAATAGATCGAGATAAGAGATGCCTCGGATGGAGGGGGATATTCTAAAAATTGGACACATTCGTAAAACCGGACTGAAGTTGGTTGGCAGAGCGGGATGAAGGGGATGTGAAAGCGTCATGTAGGTTTGGTGTGTGCGGCGCCTGCGAGGAGAAATCATGATCGTACAATCTGATATTTTGCAGCAGCGATGGTGTCCTCGTTTCAAGGCGCCTCGAAAAGCTTGACAAAGTCCGCATCACACGGAGGCCCTTCCACGCAGCCAAGTAGTAACGGTGCTCGTCCGGCCACGCCCTCACAGTATCAATGGAGGCCACGTAAGGATGTGCCATGCCGAGCCGCCCGAATGTTCTAGAGAACGAGCCAACCAGAGGCGAAGACCCGCAGGACAAAAAGTACAGCTGGCGAATCAAGCACTATGCCAACGTGACTCCAGGCACTGCACGTGCGGATCCCCAACACGTAAGGACGACGGATGCCACGTCCCTGCCGTGCCTTGTCGCGGATATCGGCCATCCCTATGGCAAGCTAATGCAGCGTTGCTGCTTACTGTTGAGTAAAAGTGGGTAGCAGAGACCGATTTCGGGTTGCTGTTGAACTTCCGAGTCCGAGCATGTGGCACGAACCGCTCCAGTTCACCAGTGAGTTTGGCCGGGCCTGACGCTCACTGCTGCAATGCGTGTGAGCGAATCCGAGCTAACGTGTACAGAATCGAAGCTCAATCAATGTGACCAAGAATCGGAGCTTCGTAAAGCAGCAACCTCACTGCATTCTAGAGTCTAGGGTTTGTCGTGGGGAATTCTAATTGGGTGTCGGTGAGGCTCGGGGGGAAGGAAAGGGAAGGGGGAGAACGAAGGGGAAGAGGTTGAGAGGGGGAAGGGGAAAAATATCATGTGATTGCGTGGGCCAAAACCAACGACGAGTGAGGACGACACATGGATGGTCTTGAGACGAACCGGTATAGGATGGGATGGAAACGGGGTTCGCATACACGACTAGCTCGCCATTGGTGTACCTTGTGTATTAGCTTGTCAAGTGCTTAAACTACTTCGACCGTATATTCCAATTTCCAGGTATAGATATATCCAAACTCATTCCTTGGCTACTTCAACACTCAACAGAGAAACCCCACGTTGTGGTTCCAATGATCCCGCATGAAAACATGTTAGCCCAAGTTATGCGGCGTTCTAAGAGGCTGCATCTACAAAGCACTTTTCTACGTGCATGCTTGCCAAGGTGCCGCCAAGCCAGGACATACACGCCACTTTCTAAACAGATGCACGTGCCATTCATATGCAGCATCATCATCAGTCCATGACAAAACACCGTCACAAGAAAGAGGGGAAAGGAACGTGTGGAGAGGGATGTAATGTAACAATAACACTGCAAGCCAACACCTTGTACACTGGAATGAGTCAACACGGCCAGCACGTACTGTACACAAAATTCTCCTTGATTCTCCTACCTACGCCTCCCAAAAGACAGTAGGGTCCTCTGCCAGTAGAGTGCGATCCTGAATCTCCAGATTTGCCACGTGGCGGTCTATGACTCGTGCCTGAGCCAGCTTGCAGGCCACAAACATGGCTGGGAACAGCAACCACGTGAACTCCTCTGTTGCTGCAGACTCCCTGAAGGGGGGAGGGAAAATACAAGTGGGTGGGAAAAGAGGCGGGTAAGGGGGCAGGGAGCAGGACGGGAAGGAACGAGCACTTAAGAGATCTTATGGATATAGCAGTCACATGAATTTCTCTTATGTTGCAAACTTCCTGAATTGGGGAAGTCAATGAAGGGGGTGCCGCATGATACGCGGAAAAAAGGAACTAATGCACGGCGAAATTGCGTGGCAAGACCTCAAATTGTTTGAAGTTTCTTTTGCTCAGACCGAGACGATTCACCTGGCTCTGTTGTTCTCACCTGGGAGGAACACCTGACGGAGTGCCCGTGTAAGTTTGCCATACATGATATACGCCCAGAGTCACAGCAACAACCTGAAAGGAAGTGGAAAAGATGAGTATGAGTGGATGGAGCGTCAGGAGTAAAAAAAGCAACAATTATGGAGTAGAAAGGGAGACAGAGGGAGAGAGGCGGGAAGTGCGGAGGTAGGGGGGAGGGGAGGTAGGCTGGAAAAAGAGAAGAAAAGAAAAGAAAGAAACGGTTCTACCACTTGCTGCTAGCCATGCCATCCCTCTGCGGAATAACCCTAGCATCCTAAACCCAAACCCAGTCCCTTCCCTAACTCACTGGCAAGTCGAATAGCACGAAAGCTCGAGGCCCAGACCCCAACCCTAGCCCAGGCCCACTCACCCCGTTGGCAAGAGAAGTGACGTTCCAAAGCCCATACACCCTCCCCAGCCCCGCTCCGCCCCGTGGGAGGGCGCTGCGAGCGGCAGACAAAGAGCACGGGGACTTGAAACCCTACGCTACGCCCTACAACCCGAACACTAGCCCAGGCCACTCACCCCGTTGGCAAGAGAAGTGACGTTCCACAGCCCATACACCCTCCCCAACCCAGCTCCCCCCCTTGCCCCATGGGCAAAGAGCGCGTTCAGCCCTGCTGCTGCTGAGAAGAGCGGCGCGAGCGGCAGGATGAAGAGCATGAGAGCAAAGGCGAGGAGGGAGGTGCTGTAGGATTGGAGGAGGCAGAGGAGGAAGAGGCAGAGGTCGGCCAGGAGGAGCATTGACATTGCCAAACCCACTGCTGCCTGCTTGGGGGGGAGAGGGAGGGGTGGCGAGGGCAAAGAGAGAAGCGGGGGGGGGAAGCAGAGCATGAGAGCAAAGGCGAGGAGGGAGGTGCTGTAGGATTGGAGCAGGCCGAGGAAAAAGAGATACGGAGGAAACGGGGGAAAGGGAATGGGGAAAGGGAGGGAGAGATGACAGAGCGAATAGGGAGAAGGGCGGGCCTGGAGAAGAAAACTGGACTATGAGATGAAAAGCGGACTATGAGACGAAAACTGGACTATGAGACATCTCAAAGCTGAACGACTCACATCGTGGCCAACGGGTAGAGCATTCCGCAGCAACAGCCCACAGCCAGGCAAGCACAGCCCCTAAAAAAACAGAACCAAACATAACAGAAGAGCAAATAACGGAATAAAACTCACATCGTGACCAACAGGCAGAGTGTTTCGCAGCAGCAGCCCGCAGCCAGGCAAGCACAGCCCCCTCCCCCCATCCAGCCGTTGCAGCACCTGCGCGTCTATCAACCCCCCTTGCTGCCTCTTCCCCACCCGTCCCCCCGCCGCCTGCCACAGCAACCCCGCAGAAACAGACGAGATTTGCCGCTCCACTTCCCTCCTCTCGCCGCCCCGTCTCGCATCCTTGTCACCTAGCAAAGAGAGATTCTCGGGAATTGAGCCATGGATGCTTCGTGCCAGACCACTTCCCGAGCCTGTGTCGAACCTGGGAGCAAAGTGAGCCGGGCCAGCAGGTCCGGGTGTAGGATCGGCAGAGGGGAGGTGTGAGAGGAAGGGTCGGTGTTCGAACCTATGTGGCGAGAGAGGGGGGAGGGAAGCAAGTGAGGGGCTTTGCTCCCCTCCTCCTGACTGCTGTTGCTGCTGCTGAGAGGGAAGTTTCACTGATAGTGCCCGAGCCGGCAACCTAACACTTAAAGCTTCTGGCTGCCTTTGCTGCTGTTGTTGCTGCTGCTGCTGATCTTGCAAGGAGCTTTGGGAGTAAAGCCTACCAGCGCTCTCCCCACCCAGTGCTGACAAGGGGCGTGGGCGCAACGGGGTGTCAGAAAGGTGAGGTGAAGGAAGAGGAGGAGGAGGAGGATGAGGGGACTGATAGGGAGGAGTGTTCACACCCCCATACCCACCCAAACCGCCTCCTCTCACCCTCTCTCCCATAAATCTGTTCTCTGTGACTCTATCTCTTGTGACTGTAGGGGGGGAACGTCCACCAGGGGTGACACTAGCGCTACCAGCCCTGCCCGAATAACCACCGCCACCATAGCCGCTGAAGCCGCCAGCTGGCAGGTAACGAGTGGATAAGCCTGCTGACGTGGCGACAGCTGGTTGGGTGGAGGCATCTCGTAGGAGAAGGAGAGCGTTTAGATGAGAGGGGAGGGTCATTGGGAGGGGAGAGGAGGAGGTGGTGGAGTAGGGGTGTGTGGTGGAGGAGGTGGGGGTGGCTGTTAACGAGTATGGGGTGTAGAGAGAGGTAGTGGAGTAGGGATTGAGGTAGGGGTTTGAGAGAAGAGAGGATGGGGAGATGCTTTGCTGCCACCGATGCCGATGCTGCTGCTGTTGTTGCTGCTGTAGCTGCTGCTTCTGGTGCTCGTGGTGCTGCTGCTGCTGCTGCCGCTGCGAGTTGTGTTGGTGTGGGGTGTGTTGGTGTGAGAGAGAAGAGACGGAGCGGGGAAAGGAAGGGACATCCGACAACGCCCGAGCGTGAGAGGAAAGCAAAGAGACAGGAGCAAAGGCAGAGGAGGGAAGTGCAGCGGGGGGAAGAGTGGCGGTGCGAGGAGAAGTTAAAGCAGAAGCAGAGCCTTCGGGTCCCAGTCTCTCCTCCGCCCTGCCCCATCCTGTGTCTGAACCACCGAACCCACCCAGCCGACTGCTCCCGAAGCTGCTGCCGAAGCCGGCCAGGTTCGGCGCGGCTGCCGAAGCGAAGGAGGTGAAGCTTGGAGCAGACAAATGGCCAGCTGGATCGGCAGAAGCAGCAGCAGCAGCAGAAGAAGGGAGGAAGTCGTTGCAGTGGTCAGTGCTCTCGGGGTGGTCGAGACACAGAGCGAGCTGGATTATGCTGGCTGACGTGGGCTGTGGGGGATGGGTGGGTGCAGGAAGCGGGGAAGAGGGAGGGAGGGGCAATGGAGAGGGAAGAGGGGAGGTAGTCATTGCAGTGATCGGTGCTCTCGGAGTGGTCGAGACACAGAGCGAGCTGGATAATACTGGCTGACGTTGGCTGTGGGCGATGGGTAAGTGGAGGGAGGGGGGAGGTGGGAGAGAAAAGGGAGGATGAGGGATTGGGAAAGGGCGAAGGAATGACAGACTCTACATAGTATTGACGTGTGTGCAGAGCTAACGCAGCAGGGGCTTGATCGGCAGTGGTCCAGGTAGAAATACAAGACAAGGACGATAGAAACAACTTATGAGGCGCCTCAAAACTCAATTTGTGAGGCGAAGGACTTGAGCGGCAGTGGTCTAGGTAGAAATACAAGACAAGGACGATAGAAACAACTTATGAGGCGCTTCAAAACTCAATTTGTGAGGCGAAGGACTTGAGCGGCAGTGGTCTAGGTAGAAATACAAGACAAGGATGATAGAAACAACTTATGAGGCGCTTCAAAACTCAACTTGTGAGGCGAAGGGCTTGAGCGGCAGTGGTCTAGGTAGAAATACAAGACAAGGATGATAGAAACAACACACCTGCAGCCAGACAAGGTGTGCGGACACGCCATGGGCTTCCAGCGAGGGGTTCACGTGCGTGCACAGACAGCGCAGCAGGGGTTTCAATGACTTAAATCTATGTAAGAAGACAGGGGCGATAGAAACAACACACCTGCAGCCAGGCCAGGTGTGCGGACACGCCGTGGGCTTCCAGCGAGGGGTTGACATGCGTGCATGGCCAGCGCAGCAGGGCCTTCAATGACTTAAGTCTATGTAAGAAGACAGGGACGATAGAAACAACGCACAACACACCTGTAGCCAGGCCAGGTGTGCGGACACGCCGTGGGCTTCCAGCGAGGGGTTGACGTGCGTGCATAGCCAGCGCAGCAGGGGTGCGAAAGACTACGGTTAAAGTCGGCTGTAGTTTAATATGGAGACAAGATACAACATGGATGATGAGCGCACCTGCAGCCAGGCCAGGTGTGCGGACACGCCATGTGCTTCCAGCGAGGGGTTGACGTGGGTGCAGAGCCAGCGCAACAGGGGTTTCAGCGACCTTTGAAGGTTGCCATGGGTGACGGTGCGCAGATGGGCGTTCAACCCCGCCACTAGGCGGTACCACACTGTAGGGGGTATGGCCTAGGAAAGGCATGGCATGGCAGGTAACAGACATACGGGGGGAAGGAAATGACAGTAAGGAGGGGAGGTGGGTGCAGAGCCAGCGCAGGAGGGGTTTGAGCGACCTCTGAAGGTTGCCGTGGGTGACGGTGCGCAGATGGGCGTTCAGCCCTGCTACCAGGCGGTACCACACTGTAGGGGGGATGGCATGCGATGGGATGGGATGGGATGGGATGGGATGGGATGCGATGGGATGGGATGGGATGGGATGGGATGGGATGGGATGGGATGGGATGGGATGGGATGGGATGGGATGGGATGGGATGGGATGGGATGGGATGGGATGGGATGGGATGGGATGGGAGGGAATGGCATGACATGGACGAGATGGGATGGGATAGGATGAGATTGGGAAGGGGACAAGAGATGCACCTAAGAATGCACTTGACCTGAGAAAACACCTGACCTGAGTGACTTGAAAACACACCTGGGAAATTGGTGAGAAGATCGTCCGTGAAGAGATGGTATGGCGCCACGTACAGCCCGCCAAGAACACACCTGAAAAGACACCTGAGAACACACCTGAAAAGACACCTGAGAACACACCTGAAAAGACACATGAGAACACACCTGAAAGCATACCTGGGAGATGATGTTGGTAAGGAGGTCGTCCGTAAAGAGATGGTACGGCGCCATGTACGACCCGTTGCCGCCCAGCACCAGCAGCAGCGGCAGGCGGTGGGCAAAGCTCGGCAGGACATGCGTGGCCATCTCGTCGCCGCCCAGAAACACGTCCATGTAGCCCAGGACCAGATCCGGGGTAGCTGACATCTGGGGGAGGTAGCATGCCGAGGTAACAGAAGTACCGGGGGGTCACAGGAACAGGGCAGGAGGGAACGAGTTAGGTAGGAGGAGGGGGTTGAGAGAAGGCCCACATGTAGCTCGTAATCAGGTCCGGCCGTGGTGGCTGAGACTTTTGAGACGTCTCAAAAGCCGTGGTAGCTGAGACCTGGGGTAGGTCGCAATGAATGCGGCACCAGTTTCTGCGTTGGTGTCGATTCGTGGAAGCAGTGCGACTCAAAATCACAAGTCAGTTGACTCACTTTGAGGCCTTCATACAGCGCGCGGGAGCGGCAGGAGCGCAGGCAGGAGTGGTCGTAGCGCGTGTGAACAAACTCCCGCAGCCGCTGCACCACGAGGCGGCGCCGCCACTGCTGCCATGACCACGCGAACGGCAGCGCGAGTAGCGCCAGCAGCGAGTGCACACACCCCTCCCACCACCGGTAGCACGCAATGGCGTTAACCTCGTCTACTAGTCGGTTGTATGAGTCCTCGTATACGAGATCGGAGATTGCGTGCGGCGGGGAGTGCGGGAGGTGCAGCGGGTGCGAGAAGGAGTTGTCTCCACAGAAGAAGACCCGGTGCACGTGTGAGGCTGCCTCTTCCACCCTTGTGTTCTCCATCACCTGACGGGCAAGAATGTGTGTGGGACGGATGGAGAGAGAGGTAAGGAGGGTGCGAGAAGGAGTTGTCTCCACAGAAGAACACCCGGTGGACGTGCGACGCTGCCTCCTCTACCCTCGTGTTCTCCATGACCTGCGGAAGAAGGAGAGAGAGTGTGGGACGGGGTGAGAGAAGGAAAGAGGGTGAGCAAGCCCTTTGCAGTGATGGTTGTGCTTCGTAGAACAAGACCCAATGGACATGGGAAGCTGCTTGTTCCAAGCATGTGTTCTCCATCACCTGAGGAAGTGTGTGGGGGGAAGGGGTTGGGGAAGGGAGAGGGGAAGAGGGAAAAAGGAATGAGGGTGTTTAAGACTCTTGCAGTTAGAGTCTCTAGACCTACTTACATACCCAGTTAAGAGTGTCTAGAAACGGCACTGGGCGATCCATACGCATGCAAATAGCACATGCAGATCCATACGTGTGCCTCAGTGCCTCAATGGCCATGTGCAAACAACACATGAGGATCCATACAGCCACTGAGGCACGTACCTCATTTAGGGACTCCAAATACGGCAGAGAGTGGTCCATATGGGAAGACACATCGGAGTCCCTCGTCTGCAGCTGCGCCAAACCGTCCCCTGCCAGCAGCAGCCTGGCGCGCGTGAGAGTGATGGCAAACCCTAGCAGTACAGAGAGCGTGCATGCCAGCGCGAACACCCACGCACCTCGTTAAGTGACTCCAAAAACGGCAGGGAGTGGTCCATGTGCGAGGAAACATCTGAATCTCGCGTCTGCGGCTGGGCCAAATCGTCCCCTGCCAGCAGCAGCTTGGCGCGCGCGAGAGTAATCGCAAAGCCCAGCAGCAGCACGGAGAGCGTGCAGGCGAGCGCGAACACCCAGGGCCCGCCCAGATCTCGGATGAGACCTTCAAAGAATGTGTCGCAGTGGGGCAGGGAGAAGTGCGAGGAGAGACAGCGGTAGGGGCAGGGCGCACTGGTGGCACCACCTGGAGTGAGGGGAGCGAGGGAGAACGAACAGGGATGAAAGAGGAGAGCGTGCACGCTAGCATGACCACCCAGGGCCCGCCCAGGTCGCGGATTAGACCTTCCATTGGTGTGTCACAGTGGGGCAGGGAGAAGTGCGAGGAGAGACAGCGGTAGAGGTAGGGAGCACTGCTGGCACCACCTGAAACAGAGGGAAATGGATAGATTTGGAGGGGTTGAAAGGGGAGAGCCCAGGTCAAGGATTAGGCCCTCCATTGGTGTGTCGCAGTGGGGCAGGGAGAAGTGCGAGGAGGGACAGCGGTAGGGGCAGGGCGCACTGCTGGCGCCACCTGTAGAAGGGAGGGACGGGGTCAGAGGAAGGGCAGGGCGGAAGGGAGGAGACGAGAGAATAAAGAAAGTGCCTCCATGGGGGTGGGACGAGACCAGGTCGCGAGTGAGACCCTCCATTGGCGTGTCGCAGTGGGGCAGGGAGAAGTGCGAGGAGAGACAGCGGTAGGGGCAGGGCGCACTGCTGGAGCCACCTGGAAGGGGGGGACGGGTGAGAGGAAAGCGAGCAGGTGAGAGAACAGGATGGGCACAACACATCGGACCCGCGAGATCAGCATGGGCGGGCACCTGACTTGATTGGGAATACCTCTCTATCTCCCCCCTTGCACCGAACGAACCTCGCTTGTAGGCGAACTCGGCGTGGTGTTGCAACAACTCGAGCGGGCAGCGCAGGCAGAGGGAAGGATCAGATCCGGACTGGTTCTTGAAGGTTCCCACACGGCACTCCTCACACAGCAGCCCCACCAGCCGTCCCTGGTGGGACCAGCAACCACACCACAGCACCGCATCCAACCGCATTGTACACACCTCGCTTGTAGGCGAACTCGGCATGGTGTGGCAAGAGCTCGATTGGGCAGTCCAGGCAGAGGGAAGGGTCGGAGCCGGACTGGTTTTTGAAGGTGCCCACAGGACACTCCTCACACAGCAGCCCCACCAGCCTTACCAGCCCCACATACCTTTCTGATAGGCGAACTCGGCATGGTGTGGCAGGAGGTCGAGCGGGCAGTCCAGGCAGAGGGAAGGATCAGAGCCGGACTGGTTCTTGAAGGTGCCGACACGGCACTCCTCACACAGCAGCCCCACCAGGCCTGGAGGGCAATCCGCCGACCCTGTCCATCCCACCTTGCCGTCCTCCCCTTCGTAGCTGCCCTGCCCTCCACTGGTTTCAACCACAGGGGAGGAAGAGAAGGGATAGACACTGTGAAAACAGGACCCCTCTCACAGCTGCCCCACCAGGTTCGGGGGGCAATCCGCCAACCCTGTCAGTCCCACCTCGCCGTCCTCCCCTTCGTAGCTGCCCTGCCCCCCACTGGTTGTGTGGTTCAGCAAAGGGGAAAAGGAAAAAGTCGAGTCATATATAGGGAAGCGCTAGCAGCCCCACCAGCCCTGGTGAGCAATCCGCCGACCCAGTCAATCCCACCTCGCCGTCCTCCCCTTCGTAGCTGCCCTGCCTTCCACTGGTGGCAATAACACGAGAAGAGAGAGAAGGGGATGCACTGATCGTCTTGAAAAGCGTGTACACGTGGCAGTGGGGGCAGCACTCCTCACACAACAACCACATCAGCCCCGGTGGAGTCACTTTGAGAAATCTCAAAACTGAATCCGCTGATCCCGTCACTCCTACCTCTCCGTCCTCCCCCTCGTTGCTGCCCTTACCTTGTTCTGATAGCATCGCTCCAGTTCCCCTCGATAGTAGCACGTGGTGTGTACTTATCTCCTTGCGTCTGTTCCAGGTTCTGCCATGCAAAGTACACTTTTCCCCCGCCCCCTCCGCCGCCTCCCACCGAATGCCCCTGTCCCCCTGACGCTGATATCACAGCCCCTCGAGTCATGTTGAGTAAAGTTGCATGGATCACTACTGTTCCCCCTGCCCCCCCTCCCAGTCCTCCGCTTCCCACTTCCCTTTCTCTAACCCCAACTCTGCCTTCTCCGCCCCCCACTCCCCTTTCTCCGTCCCCCACTCCTCCTTCTCCTACCTCCACTCCCCCTACTCCACTCCCGAATCTCCCCGTTCCGCCTCCCACGGTGCGTGTGTTGAGTAAAGAGCCATCTGCCGCCAGAGAGCCGCCCCACAGCGTCAAATTGGCCACAGGGCCCAACACTGGGGGGGAGAGGGGGGAAGGAGAAGGGAGGATAGAGGGGAACGAGGGTCAAAAGGGACGCTCAGGCTCTAAAACCCCCTCCGCCTCCCACCGTGCGTGTGTTGAGAAACAAGCCGTCTGCTGCAAAAGAGTAGCCCCACAGCTCCAGACGAGCCACCGGACCCAGCACTGCACGACTTGGACCAAGTCGCTCAGTTGGACCAAGTCGCTCGGTCGGACCAGGTCGCTCGGTCGGACGAGGTCGCTAGGTCGGACGAGGTCGCTCGGTCGGACGAGGTCGCTCGGTCGGACGAGGTCGCTCGGTCGGACGAGGTCGCTCGGTCGGACGAGGTCGCTCGGTCGGACGAGGTCGCCCAACCGGGCCAGGTCGCCCAACCGGGCCAGGTCGCCCAACCGGGCCAGGTCGCCCAACCGGGCCAGGTCGCCCAACCGGGCCAGGTCGCCCAACCGGGCCAGGTCGCCCAACCGGGCCAGGTCGCCCAACCGGGCCAGGTCGCCCAACCGGGCCAGGTCGCCCAACCGGAGCAGGTCGCCCAACCGGAGCAGGTCGCCCAACCGGAGCAGGTCGCCCAACCGGAGCAGGTCGCCCAACCGGAGCAGGTCGCCCAACCGGAGCAGGTCGCCCAACCGGAGCAGGTCGCCCAACCGGAGCAGGTCGCCCAACCGGAGCAGGTCGCCCAACCGGAGCAGGTCGCCCAACCGGAGCAGGTCGCCCAACCGGAGCAGGTCGCCCAACCGGAGCAGGTCGCCCAACCGGAGCAGGTCGCCCAACCGGAGCAGGTCGCCCAACCGGAGCAGGTCGCCCAACCGGAGCAGGTCGCCCAACCGGAGCAGGTCGCCCAACCGGAGCAGGTCGCCCAACCGGACTAGGTCGCCCAACCGGAGCAGGTCGCCCAACCGGACCAGGTCGCCCACCGGACCAGGTCGCCCAACTGGACCAGGTCACCCAACCGGACCAGGTCGCCCAACCGGACCAGGTCGCCCAACCGGACCAGGTCGCCCAACCGGACCAGGTCGCCCAACCGGACCAGGTCGCCCAACTGGACCGGGTCGCCCGACTTGACCGGGTCGCCCGACTTGACCGGGTCGCCCGACTGGACTAGGCCGCCCGACTGGTCTAGGTCGCCCAACTGGACCAAGTCGCTCGCTCAACTGGACCAAGTCGCCCAACTGGACCAAGTCGCTCAATTGAACGAAGTCGCCCAACGGGACCAGGTCGCTCACCTATCACCTCATTCACTTATCACCTCACCCACCTATCACCTCACCCACCTATCACCTCACCCACCCATCACCTCACCCACCCATTACCTCACCCACCCATCACCTCACCTCCTATCAATCACTCACCTATCACCTCATCCACCAATCACCCACTCACCTATCAGCCCGCCTCCGCTGTTCCCCCGTCCCTTCGGGCCCAGCCCTCCCCCACTCCCGACACTGCAGGGCGGCATCGTTCGTCCGTATGCAGGCCCGCCTGCCGCCCGGGACCCGTTGAAATAGCCAGCACCGCCCTTTCCCCCATGCCCCCCTCCACCACTCCCCCCTGCTGGTGCGTCCCTGCCATGCCCCACACCATGGCCCGGCGGGCAACCTGGTGGGAAAAGGGGGCAGTGGCGGAGGGGGACACGGGGGGAAGGGCGGTGCTGGCTCACATGGTCACGCATGGTCACGCATGGTCACACATGGTCACGCATGGTCACGCATGGTAACACATGGTCACACATGGTCACGCATGGTCACACTTGGTCACACATGGTCCCACATGGTCACACATGGTCACACATGGTCACACTTGGTCACACTTGGTGACACTTGGTGGTCACGCATGGTCACGCGTGGTCACGCATGGTCACACTTGGTCACACATGGTCACACTTGGTCACGCATGGTCACACTTGGTCACACATGGTCACACTCCCTGCCATGCCCCACACCATGGCCCGACGGGCAACCTGAACGAAGAGCAGGGCAATCGGAGGTCAAGGAAACAAAAGATTTATTTTTTACCCCAACCTAACATGCGCTTGCCACGCACCAGCCATGCCTGACATAGACCTGCTGTGCATGCACTTGCCATGCACTTGCCACTCACCAAGGCCCAAGGCAGAGATGGAGGCTCGGCGGTCAATGACCAGAGAGGAAGAGGCATCGATGCGCACCAACGCCCCCTCCATCGCCCCTTGCACGCACACAATGTACCAACAAACCTAACTGTGCACCTTTCATGCCACTCACCAAGGCCCGAGGCAGAGATGGAACCTCGGCGGTCAATGACCAGAGAGGAAGAGGCATCGATGCGCACCAACGCCCCCTCCATCGCCCCTTGCACGCACACAATGTACCAACAAACCTAACTGTGCACCTTTCATGCCACTCACCAAGGCCCGAGGCAGAGATGGAACCTCGGCGGTCAATGACCAGAGAGGAGGAGGCATCGATGCGCACCAACACCCCCTCCATCGCCCCTTGCACGTACACCTTGTACCAACAAACCTAACTGTGCACCTTTCATGCCACTCACCAAGGCCCGAGGCAGAGATGGAACCTCGGCGGTCAATGACCAGAGAGGAGGTAGCGTCTATGCGCACCAACGCCCCCTCCATCGCCCCTTGCACGTACAGTCTGTCGAGACGACAGACCTGCACAGGGAAGGTGTGAAGGCGGGACAAGGGAGGGAGGGCGACTGGATTGTGGAAGGGTTGTGTAGCGCCTATGCGCACCAATACCCCTCCATCGCCCCTTGCACGTACAGGCAGTCGAGACGACAGACCTGCACAAATCAAGGAGAAGAGGACAGATACGGAGAATGAGGGAGAAGAGGACAGCTAGGTTCGTGAAGAGAGAGGATGAGGGGGAGGCCAACAAAAATGAACATTGGCTCGAGAAAAAGATGACTCACGTGGAGGGAGAAGGGGGACTCGTCCTTGCTGCTGCAGTCGTGAATCGGCTGCACCAGACTGGACGGACACTCCTCCACGTGACAGTACGGCAGGTCCCCCCGCTTGTCCCACTCACCACCACCGCAAGCGGAAGCAGAACCACCACCAGCAGTAGCAGCAAAAGAACACCAGCCACAACAAGAGAAGGAACAGGAGGGGGTCACTCACGAGGAGGGAGAAGGGGGATTCGTCTTCGCTGCTGCAGTCGTAAATCGGCTGCACCAGTCTGGAGGGACACTCCTCCACGTGACAGTACGGCAGGTCCCCTGACTGCACTGCAAAGCCCCCATACTGTGACGCCGCCACAGAGTCAACAGAGTCAACAGAGGAAAGAGAGTGGCTGTGACTGCTCCAGTTCCCCCCGCTTCCTACTTTGCTGCTGCTTTGCTGCGGCTGTAGCAGAGACACACTCGGCTGTAGCGAGGATTTGGGCTGTAGCGGGGACACACTCGGCTGTAGCGAGGATTTGGGCTGTAGCGGGGACACACTCGGCTGTAGCGAGGATTTGGGCTGTAGCGGGGACTCCGTCTGTAGCGAGTAGTAATTTGGTTCGGTGCTGCCGCCCGCAGAGAGGGACTGGAGGTGGAGCAGGGCGGCGTGCGAGAGAGGGGCGGCGATCCGGCTGCCGGCCAGAACGCGGACGGCGACGACCATGGAGATGAGGAGCTTTTTGGCGGCTAGCAGACTCCTGCCGCCCAGAGAAACCTCGTTCTGCCCCTGCAGGCACACGTGGCCTGAACTCACGAGGGAGGATCCGCCCTGAGGGGGAGAGAAGCGCACATGGCATAGGACACAGGGCACAGGGGTTCAGAGGGGAATAAGGAGAAGAGACAGCTAGCTCGTTCTGCCCGTGCAGCCACACGTGGCCCGAACTCACCAGGGAGGATCCGCCCTGAAGGAAAAGTGAGAAAAAGCAGCATGGGGGAGCAAAGAGGGGCGTGGGGTAACAGGGGTTCAGAGGGGAATAAGGAGAAGAGACAGCCAGGTCGTTCTGCCCGTGCAGCCACACGTGCCCTGAGCCGACCAGGGAGGACCCGCCCTGCGGGAGAGAGAAGGTCACAGGGCATGGCACAAGGCACAGGGTTCAGAGGGGAGAGAGGAGAAGAGACAGCCAGGTCGTTCTGCCCGTGCAGCCACACGTGGCCTGAGCTGACCAGGGAAGAACCGCCCTGGGAGATGGCGAAACAAGGGGGATCAGATCACAGCAGGGCTGGTTATGACTTTCATACCAATGAGAGTCTACCATCAGAGGGGAGTGAGGAGAAGAGTAAGGCTGCTCGTTCTGCCCGCACAGCCACACGTGCCCTGAGCTGACCAGGGAAGAACCGCCCTGATGGAGAGAGAAGGGCACAGGGCACAGGGATTGAGAAAGGAGTGAGGAGAAGAAAGTAAGATTCAGCTTGTTCTGCCCGCACAGCCACACATGGCCCGAGCTGACCAGGGAAGAACCGCCCTGATGGGGCAGGAAAGGGGGACAGCCACACACAGGCATGGCATGCTCGCCTGATGGGAACAGTACCGCACTGGTTGTTACAAGAAGAATCAGACAGAAAATAATGCTTGTATCCTACTGTTGAGTCTTATTCAGTTGCTTGAGTGGTTACCGAAAGAGCACTAGGAAGCAGAACATACAGTGAGGGAGAGGGAATTGCCATTAAAGCTTGAGAACTCCATGGCCAATCCGCTCTTGTGCCGCCTCCTCACATTGCTGCCTTCCTTCCTGCCGCCCCCACTGCTGTTGCTGCTGTTGCTGCTGCTGTCATAAGTGCTATCCCCGTTGCCACCACTGTCACGGCTGCTGCTTTTGCTAGCGTCAGCAGCAGCTGCAAGCTGGTGGATACGCAGAGAGGCGGAGGAGTGCAGGTTGAAGTGCGAGGCAGACACCTTGATCGTCCCATACACCTCCAGGGTTGCGTTCGTGAGCGTCAGATTCGTCACCACCACCTCCACCTCCGCCTCATCAGGATCCAACGGTGGAGATGGCTCCGGCTGATCTCCCCCTCCTCCCCCTCCCCCTCCCCCTCCCCCTCCCCCAGGGCTGCTTCCAAACAGCACGCTGGAACCTTCCCGGAACCACACGCAGGAGCGGATTCGCAGGCGGAAGTTCCGGGTGAGAGCGACGACTTTAGCCCCCCCCTCCACTATAATTCCGTCCCAGTAGTAGGGGTAGGGCGGCACGGTGAAGAGCGGTGTGAAGGTGTGCGAGGGCTGGTTGGAGTTGCCTATAACGAGGGTTTGTTTGGCCCAGTTGAAGACTGTCCCGGCTGAGCCTGCGTTATAAGGGCAGGCCTCGCTAGGTCCCCCAATGGCTTGGATGGATAGGGTGGGGGAGAGGGGAGAAGAGGGGGAGGGGGAGGCGGAGGGAGACGGGGAGGGAGAGGGAGAAGAGGAGGAGGAAGGGGAGGAGGGGGAGGGGGATGCGAGGGAGGATGGGGGAAGCTGGTACTGGATGGCTACGCGCCCCCCCGCGCCTCCCCCGTGCCCCTTCCCCCCATTGGCGCAGATGCGCCCAGTGCCTTGGCTGGTTGGGTGAGGGGGGGGGGACGGGAGGAGGGACAAGGAAGAGGAGGGGAGGTTAAGGAAGAGAAAGTCCCGAGTGGTTGTGTTGGATAAAAATAAAAAGTAGGGTATGAGAGAGGCGGAGGGGTGAAGGGTAACGGCAGAGGGCGGAGCTGGGAAGGGGGAGGGAGGGTGGAGTGGGGAGGATGGAGTGGGGAGGGAGGAGTGGGGAGGGGGAAGTGGAGAGGGGAGGGTTGGGGAGGAGCAAGGTGGGGAAAGGGGGAGGGGGCGGACTCACATGGAAGTGGCATTGACGAACACACTCCCACCGGATCCTCCCCCCCCAAGCCTCCCCATGCTGCCCACCTGCGCATCCCCCCCATCCGCGTCTATCCGCCCCTCCACCACCACATCCCCCCGCACCACAATGCGCACTCGCCCTCCCCCCAGCCCCCCCCCATCCGCCTCCCCCAACGCGCCCCCCTTGCTGCCCGTTTTCCACGGATCAGTGAGGGTAGACCAGGCATACGCATCTCCCCCCCATGACTCCGCCTCCGCCCCCCATCCGCCTCCGCCCCTGATATTCCCCCTAGCATTTTTCCTGCCGCCCCTGCCGCCCACGTTGTCACTGTTCACGCTACACGACGCTCCTCGCCCACCGTACCCGCCGCCCGACCCCTTCCCATCGGTCGGCGTGCCACTTGTCTGATCCGGCGCCTTTGCTGCCAGCCCCTTGGCCGTTACTGCCGCCCCAAACGCCACAGTCAGCCGCCCGGTTTCGACCAATAGCGTGCAGGCTGCCAGGCTGGCAGCCTCGTGCAGCATGACAGCTGTCGCCAAGTGAATGGAGAGAGAGCAGTCAGGCTGGGCGGCAGGAGATGGTCCCTGTACGACAGAAAATAACCTTTTCTTGCTGCTACTACCGCTGCTGCTACTGCCGCTGTTAACGCTGCTGCTACTGCTGCTGATGCTGCTACTGCTAATGATGCTACTGCTGCTGCTACTGTTGCTCT